TCATGGTTGCATTAGTGTTGTCATGGATGTGGACATGTTGGCGTGGATGTGGGTGGGCGCTGGGCATTTTTCGGTGGGCGCTGGGTGGTTTTCGATGGGCGCTGGGCCGTTTTCGATGGGCGCTGAGTGTTTTTGGTGGGCACAGGTGTTTTTTGGTGGGCTGGGTGTGGTTTTTGTGGATGCTGGGCCATTTTCGTGGGTGCTGGAGGCGTTTTCGGTGGTGCCACGTCGTTGTCTGGATGGTGGTGGTGCCACATCGTTGTTGTTGTCCGTTGGTTGACACATTGTGGTGCACCTGTATTGTGAGTGATGGGGGGCAAGGGAGCTGGGACTCACCTGGGTGGCCAAAAACAACCAGACAGTGACAATGTGCCATGTTGTCACTGTCAGACGACGTGTTGCCTGGACCTCGCACAGGGTTGTCATTGATGTGATGCAACATGGCGTGGTCGTGGTTGCTGGTCAACGTGGTCGTGGTTTCGTGGTTGCCGGTCAACACGATCGCTGTGGGCAGTGGTGGCGATGGGTGATGAGCATGGTTGGCAGCGATGGTGGTAGTAGGAAGAAGAGTGGCCGTGTTTGGTGAGTCTGGGTTGCCAAATAATCATTGTTTGGCATCGGTCAGAAATAAATAAACTATAATTAGTAACAAATACAACAAATAAACAATGGATTCAATGAAATACTGTTCCTGCTCATTCTGGGGAAGACCATTCCGGTGTAAATTCCAGAATGATCAGATTCCACTGGAATGAGAAAACACAGGAATGACAAATTTAGCAGGGCTTACTGCTAAATTTCATTCCACCGGAATTCCACAGGAATGACCGGAATCCTGCAGGAATAGGGGGGGCACTGATAAGACCTTGGAGTTGTTGGAGCATGCCAAACCCAAGTGGGAGGAGATGATCCAAGTCCTCAAAGCTCGACTGCCCTGCACCCAGGATTTTCAAAGGGGTCAGTCGACGTCGCCCCCCACTGATGCAGGTCCACATTTGCCCGGTGCAGCAGATGTGATTCACATGGTGCCCACTGTCACTGATGCAGCTCCACATTCGCCTGGCGCAGCACATGGGACTGACATGGCGCCCACCATTGCTCCATCAACTCCGGCACCTGCTTCAAATGCACCCTTGCAGCTACAATCGCCCATCACAGCAAAACAGCAATCAGTGGTGGCTACCACCACTGCTGGAGTTGCACCTGCTGCCCCTTCAAGTCCCACGGCGCCCAACACCGAAGGGGTAGAACTCGTGCCAGTTGAGGTTAGCCCAGGTTCTCCACTTACTGCCATTGGATCTCGCCCCACTTCCCTGCAAAGTGGAGATGAACGAAACACGTCTACTGGGTGCAAAAGGAAGGCTGATGAAGAGGTCGACGCGGACATCACCAGGAAGAAACTGGCCAGCAATCAGAAGAAGGGCCCACCGAGTGCACCTCAGCGCAGACAACCTGCACATGGTAAGGCTCCCAATAGCGTCAATCCAGTGACAGCAGGCCAGTTGAGCAAACTGGACACCATCATCGAGGAAGACTTGTAGATAAAATTTGCATGGCCATACATATCTTGAAATACCCTACAGTAGCTAGGGTATAATAAATTTTTTGATGCAGTTATTCTTTGGCATGCATATGCTTTGGTGCTCTTTCAGTTCAACTGACACATTTTGGGGCACTGGCAAATTGAGGTTACTTGGGGTGAAAACAAATTGAGGTTCCTACGCATTGGCACTCTTACATGACAGGGTTTTGGAACAGCTTGAAACCCAAACCTTGTATTCACAGGTGTAAGTAACATGTAGCTAGGTTGACTCAGGCGCCAGTGCGAAAACAGGTGTGGCACCTGAATCAAAGAAAGACCCAAAAGTGTGCCAATGTTGAATCACTCCTTCCACCACTCTCCATGCTGTCATCAATGACACCCATGAAACTCTCTTTTACTTCAGTACAAGTACAACCTCATATCCCAGAATGCCACTTTACCATCTTGGTTGTCTTCATTACCTGAGCCACATTTGTGTGGAAATTCCATTATCCATTCATTGAACCTGTTGGGCCCACCCATTTGAAACAAAGACTTTGTAGGGCCCATACATTGAATTGAAGACAGTAAGTACTGCCAGATATGTCGCCCACCTGATGGCACAACAACGGCTTTGGCACAAAGCTCGTCACCTATATTACACCTAAGTGAGACCCTGAACACCAGGGGGATGGAGTATGCATCTGCCAGGATGCACTACTCCCCAGTTGGGCCCAGCCATCACTAATGGACAATTTGTCGATGGGCATGGGTCTGCAGTGAAGTCATTTCGAATGAGCACGCCCATTAATGGCAGGCGCAAGCGCCCATTATTGGCAGGTGCACACCTGTTCGGCCCAGCCATCACTATGGAGGATATGTTGATAGGTGGGCCGAGTCTGCTAGCCCCATATGGTATGAGGTATTGTCAGGTTCGGTTAGTCCATTAGGTAAGGGCTAGGGTCACTGTCATACTGTACAAATACAACCAAGTCTTCACATCACATGTCACATCTATTTGCCTTAAATCAAAAGAAAATTTTTCGGCCATCTCAGCGAGAAAAAAATCCCAAATCGATGAAGAGTTGGTCTTATTTTTACAGTATGTGTCATCTCATGAAGCAACGTACGGGAGAAAAAGCAGGTGCAGCATTGGAAGACACAATACATGCTGGAAGATGGGAAGCTGTGGTTTGTAGGAGGCGGCAGTGGCATGAGAGCGCAGGCAAGGAGGGAGTGTGTATCAAGAGCTGAAGCGGTTGAGTTGGCAAAACTCCAGCATGAACAAGGCAGACACTGGCATCGCGATGCAATGAAATTGGCGCTCCTGGACAGGTACCATAGCCCCAAACTGGACGAGTCAATAGTCAAAGCTATCATGGATTGTGCGCGGTGCAAAAACTTTGGAGGTACACACTTACACTCTCTGCTGCCACCAATAACCAGGCGCCACCCCTTTGAGCTACTGGTGGGTGACTATCTGTCATTGCCAGTCGGAAAAGGCGGCTATCACACAGCCGGGATTTACTTGGATACGTGTTCGCAACATGTCTGGGGGTACAAGTTCAAAACTCATGGTAGCGCTATGACAACCAACTGTTCCCTCAATGACATCTTTCACAATTTCGCACCACCAGAAACATTCATGGCAGATGGGGGCAAGCACTTCAAGAACAAGGAAGTTGCAGACAATTGCAAACACTGGGGAACCAAATTACACACCATGGCAGCATACTCACCGTGGGTCAATGGACTCATCGAAGGCACTAACAAACTATTACTTTATGTCTTAGCTCGGTTATGCGCTCCTGAGGTTGGCGAGGATGGATGGCAGGTGGTTAAATGGGATAAGCTAGCAGCAACCTGGCCAGACCACTTTGACAAGGCTATCTGCATTCTCAATTGGCGGATTTTACCAGCTCTCAAGTTCAGCCTGAAGGAGATTTTGCTAGGATTAGTGGTGAACACATCAAAAACGCCCCTAGAGGTCAGCTGTTCTTTACCTCCTGCTGATGTCAACACACATATGACTTACGTGGCACAACAACGGCTCGATGGATACGCCGAAGCAGTACACCACGCCATGCAGCAGAAGACCACGTTCAATTGCAGAGTCACAGTGTCAAAGGCAGGAGTCGTCGAATTCAAAAAAGGCCAACTAGTACAAGTGTATGATAACAAGCTAGCCTCAACCCTCAGCACAGAACGAAAACTAGCACCCATGTGGTCGCCCCCACGGCATGTCACTGAGCAACTCCTGAATTCTTACAAGCTCGAGTGGTTGGATGGCACCCTGTTGGACGGGTTATTCCATGCTAGACACCTTCGAGATTTCGTGCCAAGGGAGGGCACAACATTAGCAGTGGAGCAGAAGGAGTTGGAGAAGGCGCTAACCTTGGAGGAACCCAATGAGAAGGTGGCTATAGCGCCAGGAGACAAAATGGAAGAAGAGGTAGTGGATGAAGAAGTGGAAGAAGCAGGGTTGGAGGATCAAGGCAAAGAAAGGGGTGAAGTGTGGGCCAACAAAGGGTTTTTCTACGAGGAGGATGAAGAAGAGGTTCAGGATGATGAGGAGATGGGCATTGGTGCTAGAGTGGCAGCGAGGAGGCGAGGATGCCTCCATAGCGGAGGGGGGCAGATGGAATAGGAGATAGGGCACTCCTCCCAAGGAGGCACATGACAAGGAGATTAGTCAGCAAGTAGCATGTAGACAGCCAAATTACCCAAGAGGTGTCAGATCCACTGATTCTGGCCATCAGATCCATTTATGACAAAGCACAAGCAGTGATATCCAAAGGATGGCATGTCAGCGGCATCTAGCATTCCCATCAACTCCGCTGCACAAGTGTTTGAGCGTTGATTTTGAGTCCAAGGCTTGTGTACCACAGGATATCACCTATTCATAGTATTCACAAAACTACATCAAATCAAAGGTAATGTAAATTGTGCTAATTCTTGAAGAAGAAGCGAGGATAATATATGGGAAGACAATTTCAAAGAAAGACATTTGAGTTGGTAGCAACACTGCGAAAAAAAGATGGTGGGTGGTGAATTGACGGCATTGGTAGTTGAATAGATGGGATTAGAATTTAATGATAAAATGACAAAGGATTGGTATTTTTCTCCCTCGGCCTCTACCTCGCTCATTGGGATTCTGGGAAGTAAGATAGAAGATACAACTTACAGCTTACAACGGGTTTGCATAGTGCACATCAGTCATGGTGCTAGCCCTTGTCTATCATCTGGAATGCCTAGTCTTGTTCCTTCCCCTTCACCTAGAGTGATTTTTTCACAGAACTCTTGGAGTTGCGAAGAACGAGAGATCATGAAGGGGAGCAATATTGTCAGTAGGAGTATTTTAATCAATTTGATTGAACAAGGAGGTACAGTCATCCACCTGCTAATGATACACCCAAAATGAGAAATTAGCTTCAACAGATTTGAGCACAACCTTTCTCTACAAAAACTACATAAAAATCTCAGATAAATTCCTGTCTATCACTGTACCAAATTTCAGAATGTTTCACCCACATTTCACAAAGAAAAATTAAGATTATGGGTGTATCATTGAGGGGTGTGACTGTATTTGGCTATTTCTGAAAAACAGTCCATTTTGTATGCTCCACAGCTTTGCCAATTCTGCCTCAATTGCATCCAAATTATGTACGGTGGTAGATATGAGTTTGTACTACTTGTTACAACTTGTTTCATAAAAATCGGTCTAGTATTGAGTGAGATATTGACTAGTCAAAAGTGTATCAAATGGGGGTGGCATATCATTAAGGGGTGGATGACTGCAGAGTAGAATTGTCCGAAGAGAGAGAATGTGGTTTCACAAACTTATTCGACCATTTTCCGAAGCAAGGACGTGTCTGGAGATTCGGACGAGGGTGAATGCAGTACTGATACCATTTTGATTTCATAGAATAAAGCCGCATCGTGCGAGATTCCCTAATATGGTATGAGGGTGGTACCCTCATGCTGTGGGAACAACGGTCGGGATCGGAGGATCAGATGCCTCTTGAAATTACCACCACTTCACCACGCATCTGCATCGTCGGAGGCACTTGTGCCCGTTCCACCGGCTACAGTGGTCACGCGTATGTACTCTCGGCTACCTCCCGGATGTATAAAAGGGCTGCGTTAGCTCTGCTTTCGATAGGATTCCAATCCGCCGTTTACCTTACTACCCTCTCCTCCTCCTCCTCCCTCTCAACGTCAACAGCTTTCGCTCCATCTTGCTCGTCATCAGCGTCCCCGATAGGTAAGCCCTTTTTGTTCACATTGCGTTTTGTTGTCTCTGATTGTCCTCCGCAGCCGTTAACGTCGTCCGCGAAGCCGCCTAGGGTGAGTCTCCCCATCTGCTTCACCTCCCCGCTGTTCTGATACGCTCGCGCATCGTTTCAGGACTCTGCTGGATGTTCTCTGTATTAAGTCAGTGTCGTCTTTAACCCACACATCAACGAAAATGACTTACGTGACATTTATAGTTGGGTGGATGATTCTTCGTCAATGTGTGCGTCCACACTGAATTACTACGCTCTCCTCCCCCTCCTTCTTTTCGACGTCGATGCACTTCATTCCATCTTGCTCGTCCCCGATCAGTAAGCCCTCTCGGTTCACAATGTGTCTTGTCGTCGCTGACGGTCCTCCGCAGTCGTTAAAGTCATCTTGGATGTCGCCCCCCCTCTGCTTCACCTCCCCCTTTGCTGATATACGTGCTCGTCAATTCAGGACCCTATTGGACGATCTCGAGGTCAGGTCAGTATCGTCGTTTAACCCGCACATCAACAAGATGACTTACTAGCCGGGAGTTCTTGGTCAATGTATGCGCCCACGTTGGAGGCATCCGACAGTCCTCATCAACCCCCAGGAACCCTTTCTTCTGCGCCACTAAAGACTTCCGCTGAGGTCGAGTATTGGCCCGGAAGAACGTGCGATCGTGGACTGAAAGTTGGGAAGGTGGTTCGGGCCATGAACGTACGTTGAAGCGAAAGCTCGACACCTTTGTAAGTGACGTTCGTGAGTTTCAGTAGTCGAATGGTGCGGGAGACTACTTACTGAACGTGAAAGCAGACCTTTCCGCTCTGCTGCCCATCCACTTTGAACGCATCGTTATGCCGTTGTCCAACGCCCACGTCCCCGCACTGCCTCGCCGTCGAAACCTCGGAGTAGTGTCGTAGAAGTCCTTTCTTGCGGTCTAGGGGGGTCGCCGTGACTTGTTTGGAAAGCCAGGTGAGCAGGAACGATGTCAATGGAGTTGTAGATCACTTACCCAATGTCAGTCAACCCTCTTGTCGACGTTTCGTCCGTTCAGCCATCATCCTCTCAAATCCACGTCATCGCCATCCCTCGCTAAACCATTGTTACCACCCGCGCGACGTCGTTGAACTTGAAATGTAGTTATTGTTGCATAGAAGGTCGAAATTTCTCTGAACACACACTCTCGCGAGAACTTGAAAATATGGATGAATTACGAAGTCGGAGTGTCGACGGGTGGTAGGAAACATCCGAAAGTAGCTCGAAAAGGGGCACGGACGCCGCTACGAAGGCGACGAAGGCCGTTGTTTAAATTTGCGTTCAACAGTTGTTCTATATTCAATCAGTTCAATGCAAACGACACAATAATCGTGTTATCGACTTACCCTCATTGCAGCCACATCTCACCACCGTCTTCGCAACTGACGCGATTCTACATAACGTTCAGTGAGTTTGAATAGTCGAATGGTGCTGTAGAAGACTTACCGAGCGTGAAAGTAGACCTTTCCGCTCTGCTGCCCATCCACTTCGAGCCGTTTCCAAGGCGAACACCCACGTTCTCGCATACACTTGTCCAAATGTCGGAGCAATGTTGTAGAAGCAGACTAGGGGGGTCGTCGTCCCTTGTGTGGAGACCTAGGTGAGCGGGCAACGATGTCAATGGAGTTGTAGATCACTTACCCAACGTCAACACTCTTGTCGACGTTTCGTCCGTCCTTATCGATCAGCCATCATCCTCCCAAATCCACATCATCGCCATCCCTCGCCATCCCTCGCTAAACCGTCGTTACCACCCCACGTTGGTCTATCCGGCACGGCGTCGTTACCACCATTGACAACGTAGTCATGGCTTGGAAGAATGTGCGCGTGTGAACTGGAAAGTTAGGAAGGACATGGGCACGGCTTGAACTCGATAGATCGTTCGCGAGTGAACATCGATTATGTAAGATGCAACCCGAAAGAAACATGCATATACGCGTCTTCGACAAACAGGCACCCGTGAACCCCGGTTGTTTGGTCCTGTTAGATAGGAACTCGATGTGCTTGTTCCTGTCTAACTAGATACAAAACCACTTTTCCAGCGCTCTGGGCAATAACTTTCATTACCTCCCTACCTTTTTACTACTTAAGACTTGTAGTAGAATAACTTTGTCCGCATTGGGATGTATCCTTTCCCATCAATGCTGGCCGTACACCCGTTGCGTCCCATCAATGCCATCATTGCTTTATCATTGCCGACTACCAAATCCGGTAATGGTTCTCACCGTGGGCGTCATCCCGCCGTCCCGCCCCCCAGTGATGAACATGGTGTTTCCACTGTTACTGGGCCGTTTCCCCTCAAATATTTTGCTAATTATACTGTTCTGTAGTGTGTTATGTATATTATGAGGTCAATTCAATGGTTCCCTGCCCTAGAGCATCACAATGTGCTGTGCAGATGATTATGGTGGTGACCAACATCAGTATCCATCTCCTGGGAGGTCTCTAAGTGAAATAGACACATCAGACAGGCAGTAATATGCTCACTGGGGATGGGGGAGATGTTCTATAGGCTGTAACATCCTCAGAACATGCATTCATGGTAGAGTAATTGAGATAAATTCCCCCCCTTTCCCCCCCATGGTATACCCCCACTAGAGCATCCCTAAAGCAAGGGATAGAGAGTATATTACATATGATTGATTTAGGGTGGCTCAGAATAGGCATCTGAGGGTTCAGGGTATCTGTACTGCTCAATATGCCCCCAGGGCATATAAATTCCTATGGAAGCCCCAGGGCAATATGTTCAATTATTATTGGATAGAAAGGTAGTATAATAGCATAACAATGAGAATATAAGGTTGTATTTGGAGCGCTTTACATGGGGAATGGTGCATGGAGAGGGGGAGGGGGAGACATACTGCCCATCAGTTACATCACCAATGACCTTCATTTACCACATATAACAGCTGATTCACATACTACAAAATACCCTTGGTCAACCTGCAGCAAGTAGGTAGCCTGGGGATGGCTATATAAAATTATTTGAGGGAGGTGAACAGAAGTCAGTGAAAAGTGCGAAATTGGCATACTGTGACCTTGCCATTTTAGATAAAAAATATATGAGGTGGTAGAAGGTAGGGCTGGGGTAGCTAGAGGGTGGTTCAAAAAGAATTAAAGAGATTGAGCAGATGAGCAAGGCAGGAGGTTTGAAAAAGGTGTCTTGATGCATACAGAGATATGGAAGGAATTTATGGTCACAACCAGTGACTATCTATGTACCATCATCCCGCTCCATATCTAACCTCCTGTGATCATTATCTGGTCAATCTCTGTAATTTCTTTTGAACCACCCTCTAGCTACCCCAGCCCTACCTTCTACCACCTCATATATTTTTTATCTAAAATGGCAAGGTCACAGTATGCCAATTTCGCACTTTTCACTGACTTCTGTTCACCTCCCTCAAATAATTTTATATAGCCATCCCCAGGCTACCTACTTGCTGCAGGTTGACCAAGGGTATTTTGTAGTATGTGAATCAGCTGTTATATGTGGTAAATGAAGGTCATTGGTGATGTAACTGATGGGCAGTATGTCTCCCCCTCCCCCTCTCCATGCACCATTCCCCATGTAAAGCGCTCCAAATACAACCTTATATTCTCATTGTTATGCTATTATACTACCTTTCTATCCAATAATAATTGAACATATTGCCCTGGGGCTTCCATAGGAATTTATATGCCCTGGGGGCATATTGAGCAGTACAGATACCCTGAACCCTCAGATGCCTATTCTGAGCCACCCTAAATCAATCATATGTAATATACTCTCTATCCCTTGCTTTAGGGATGCTCTAGTGGGGGTATACCATGGGGGGGAAAGGGGGGGAATTTATCTCAATTACTCTACCATGAATGCATGTTCTGAGGATGTTACAGCCTATAGAACATCTCCCCCATCCCCAGTGAGCATATTACTGCCTGTCTGATGTGTCTATTTCACTTAGAGACCTCCCAGGAGATGGATACTGATGTTGGTCACCACCATAATCATCTGCACAGCACATTGTGATGCTCTAGGGCAGGGAACCATTGAATTGACCTCATAATATACATAACACACTACAGAACAGTATAATTAGCAAAATATTTGAGGGGAAACGGCCCAGTAACAGTGGAAACACCATGTTCATCACTGGGGGGCGGGACGGCGGGATGACGCCCACGGTGAGAACCATTACCGGATTTGGTAGTCGGCAATGATAAAGCAATGATGGCATTGATGGGACGCAACGGGTGTACGGCCAGCATTGATGGGAAAGGATACATCCCAATGCGGACAAAGTTATTCTACTACAAGTCTTAAGTAGTAAAAAGGTAGGGAGGTAATGAAAGTTATTGCCCAGAGCGCTGGAAAAGTGGTTTTGTATCTAGTTAGACAGGAACAAGCACATCGAGTTCCTATCTAACAGGACCAAACAACCGGGGTTCACGGGTGCACTCTACTACAAGTCTTAAGTAGTAAAAAGGTAGGGAGGTAATGAAAGTTATTGCCCAGAGCGCTGGAAAAGTGGTTTTGTATCTAGTTAGACAGGAACAAGCACATCGAGTTCCTATCTAACAGGACCAAACAACCGGGGTTCACGGAGTAAAAAGGTAGGGAGGTAATGAAAGTTATTGCCCAGAGCGCTGGAAAAGTGGTTTTGTATCTAGTTAGACAGGAACAAGCACATCGAGTTCCTATCTAACAGGACCAAACAACCGGGGTTCACGGGTGCACAGTTAGACAGGAACAAGCACATCGAGTTCCTATCTAACAGGACCAAACAACCGGGGTTCACGGGTGCAAACAGTGAGGTGAAGAGGGTCTTTCGGACCAATTCGGACAGAATTTGGATTCACAAGGCATCGGGCGATATCACACATCCAATTCTAACCAGCAACAAGGCCGTCTGATTCTCTTAAAAACAGCAAAGTAAGTTCTTTGGTTGTTACTACTGTAACATCTAACGGATATTGTAACTAGTAGTATCCGTGCTGCTGGCCAATCATCATCTCCTTTGAATTTTGGCCTCTCATAAATCGCTAAGCGGCTCCGGAACCGCTCGGTCCAGGACGCGTTGTTCACAGGTAGCCTCAGGTAGCGCGTGTGGTAATTGTGAGAGTCGAACAGGGTTGAAGGCGGTACAAGGGGATCCGTACCCGAACAGATCATAAACGACCCATCTTGCCAACGAGGTTCGTCTCGGGCCGTCGGGGGGTACTATTGTAGCGAAGATCTAGCGAAAGGGAAGGATGGTGTGATACCCGGTCGGGAAGATGTTGGTGAGTTGGGGAGTGTAAACGAATGGCAGCCTCGCCCACGTATCTCTGATTCGTTGAGCGCAGCATGACACAATCAAAGAAGAATATGACATCCATTGATTGTCAAAAACTTCTAGTTGGGCAGGCAACCGGCGGCGTGAAGACAGAAGAAGTTCATTGACGTTCGAACGTCACACCTTTCGTGGTACGATGGGGCGACGCGCACTTGGCTAGGCTGGGTCACTCTCGGCAGGTAACTGAGGTTGATTCTCTCCAGTATTCATTGCAAGGTGGCGAGCCGACTTTGCAGATACAAATCTCCTGGTAGCCTACGGGCTTCACGCGTACAGGGTGGACGTGATCCAGAAGCATGTGACGAAGTTATACGATGAGCCTGTGCATCGAATTTATGCGGCCACGGGATTACCCCATCACTTTGCAGGTTGACTTTGTTACCGGCTTTGACTATAACAGTCTTTTCAGTTTTGACTGGACGGTCCTGCCATCCCCCACTTTTTCCCATGCTCTTCGGCGTCACGACTTCGCTGCTGGCTTATGCCTGCCTAGCTACCGCGGTGACCACCTTTACCGTTCCACACCTTGCAGGCCAAGATGACACGCCCGCTTTACTAGAGGCGATGAAGGACCTCTCTTCGGATTCGACGATTTTATTCGAAAGCGGTATCACTTACAATATCTTCACGCCCATTCAATTCCCCGAATTAACCAACGTCGAAATTCGTATTGAGGGAAACCTAACATATCCGACAGATATACCGACAATACAAAGTAAGTTTTATTTGCTAGACTTTGAGTACCCCCAGATAACCTTCGTCGTCAGAAATTGTGGGTGCGGCGGTAAGATCAATTGTCCTCCATCTCCTCGATACCGAAAACTAATGGCTCGTTGTAGGGTTTTCCTGGCTCATGGATCACCTTCACTGGTGGAACCAACGTGACGCTTCAGGGCTCCTTGGATCCTCATTGGGGATGGATTGATGGTCATGGCCAAGCGGTGAGTACCCGATCATTCTACAATCTGCGTGATCTTACCCATATTTCAGTGGTGGGATGCCCAGAATCAGATTAATCGTCCGCATGGAATTGCATTTAGCCATATCAACAATGGCGTCATTCGGAATATGAAGATTTGGAAGGTATCGTCTCATCCTTCACGGTGATGACCTCTGGATTGAGGGGCACCTCTTCGTTTAAAGCCCATAGCGTGGAACTTCGCAACGAGCGGTTCTTCAAATATCCATGCGTTCAATAACACGATTATCGCTGTGTCGAGCACTCAGGTACGAAAGCTATCTTTCTCTCGCCTTCGGAAATAGTAACGACGCATTTATCCAGTCCTTCCCATTCAACACGTGAGTGGGCTTGACGTTCTCTATTCTTTGGTCCCACTTATGACACCGCTTATGCTTCATTAGGGACGGTGAGCGCCATCGTTCCCGTGGTTCGGTAAATTGAGCGCTTAGTTGCCGAGTTACATAGGGTTTTCTGCCGGGGGATCTAATATGATTTTCGAAGACAATTTTATCCAGAATGGCGACGACTGCCTTACTGTCGGAAGTGGCGCGTCTAATATTACCTTCAGGTATCTGCAACAGTCTTACCCCGTTAGCTCTAATTTGTGAACGACCCCGTAGGAACACCTATTGTGAAGGCGGGCATGGACTTTCGATTGGGTCCCTCGGAAAGGCTGGTCAAGTCGCCAATGTTCAAAACGTCCTGTGAGTATATTCGATGTGTTTCATTGGCACACGAACTCATTGTACCGATCAGTATTGAGAATATCCAGATGGTTGGTCCTCATCGTTGCCTAATATTGAAACCAAATATGATCTCTGCTGTCCCCCCAGAAAAACAGCTTATATGGCGCTCGATTCAAGAGCTGGGCAGGCGGCAATGGTCTCGCTCGAAAGTAAGGTCATTCTTTCTCCGACTTAGTATTGATGAACAACCATATTTCAGCATTACATGGAGGAACATCGCCTTCGTCGACGTTCCGTTCCCCGCAAGTTTTCTGCCTCTACAGTTTTTGCGTGTTTTCTAACCATTTTTCTATAGATCTACGTGACACAAAAGTACTCTTTCTATTCTTGACTTTCCTCTCCTTGATTGATCGGTCGCGCTAGCTATTGGGATCCAGGCGTGAGCTATTTCTCGTCAATTTTACACTTTCCAATCTCCTAAATTTTATCTAGGCCGGTCCAAAACCTAACTCTACAAGCAGCAACAACACCCATATTCAAGACTTCATGTTCGAAAATTTCACAGGCATTATAAAAGAGTATCTTCCATCCATTAGCTCCGCTTTTCATCCATCCTGACGCTTGACAGTAAACCCTACGTGGAAGGGTCATGCATTACCAATCCCTGCTGGTTTGGTTTTCACCCGAATAAATATGATATGGTCTCACTTTGGTTACTAATAGGTACGCTGTCCCTGGTGCGACGGGGAAAGAAGTCATTATATATGATCTTGCTCCCAGCACCTGTACGTGACCCGTTCTTTCTCTGCTCTTTTGTCTTACTTTGAATGGTAGCCTCGAATATTGTCGCGAAGAACATCGTCGCCACCACACAAACACACGTACCTGCAGCCGTTATGTGCGACCCCAAGGCAGTGCGTGATACATGACTTTCTCGATTAAGGCGGCTGACTAGCAATCTGTAGATAACCTACAATACCGGTTTCAAGTGTTGGAATGGCCTATATCTCCCGACCTCCAAGTAGGCTGGTTGGTTGATCAATTCATATTCACTGTCAACCTCCGTATCACCATTCAATATTCACTCATGGTATAACATATGGTTGTTGTTATTCGAACACTTCATTTATTTCGGGAGGATTTGACCAGGGTAAGATGCCGTCGGAGGACATCCCTTCAATTAAAATGCAAGCTTTTTACAACAGTACAATCGATACCAAGATACACTCCCCAATACCACTCTTGAATCATCAATAGACGTGATCGCTCTCCTCGGGGTCTGGCACTCTACTTACGCACAAATTCCACGTACCTTTCTGCCCAAGAATGCGATGATAGTTGTGTCTGGGCCAACAAGGTGAGCCTGGAAGGAGGGGACTGTCGACGAAATACACTTACATGGCAATACCAACTTTCTTCATCAAGAAATTGGGGTAACGCATCCGCTGGTGCGTCCAATGCAGCCCGTATGCGCTGCTCGCCCACATCAGTGGAAGATATCACCGTGATAAAGGATGGACAGATACATGTGGAACAATTGTATGTCTTTCCCTCAATTTCAATCGCGTCTGTCGGAGCGTATTCTCTAATCCTTGCTTCCTGAGAAACTTCTCGAAGGGTTTTGAATTTTCATATAAAGCGTCCATGTCGGCTGATATGAGATACATCATTGTTTCCACGTCACCTATTGGGCAGTTAGCGGGTCCGTTCTTCGTGGGACCATAAGTTCATGTACCAAATTCGTGGATATGTCGGAGAACCTTGATTATTTATGCTGGGTGAATAACAGGCGACGTGATTAGAGGCTCAGGATTTACCTTCTCCCCTTTCACCATCTTGTCGAGAACATTTTCAATGGCGGCCTTCCCTGCACCGGAAGCACGCCCGTCTTCTTGAGTAACAAACCAATTCATGAAGTAGCCAACGATGGATGCCGTCCTTGTTTCAGCAAGAAGGGGAGCCCAATCGCTCAGAACGTCGCTCAATCCAACGTAGTTGGCGTCCAGGATGTTTGAAACTTCAATGCGGTCGTAACGTGTCGACGGAGGTTTAGCCTTTCCATGAATTCCATCATTTCGCAAGGCTTTTGAGAGATCGCGGGCATCCATTGAATATACGTTAAACGTGACTGGAAATTGACGAAGACGCTGGTGAAAAGTACGCAGCTGCGCGGTAAGGAAGAAGTAGAGACAGCCATATATGTCTTGGGGAGTTGCCCCATGCGCTTTCCCGACTTCTGTGACTTCGCCCAAACTGCGTGGTGAACATAAAGATTTATACAAATATGAGAAGATGAAAGGCTCACTCCCAGCCTTCGAGAGGGTCAGCATAGTCTGTCTGAAGCCACCTTCCCTCGAACGAGAATAGCGAGAGATTCGGGACATTGAAGTGAGCGTTCAATGCGCCAAACGGAAGTACAATACCGAAGCGGCGAAATTCGTGGAAGGCGACACGGTGGGGAGGCTTCAGTTTTGCGTACATGCGCTCACGAAAATCGCGGCGTGAAGGCGCGTTCCTTATTCGGTCATATTCGTCTTGTACTTGACTAATAGAGACGTCCATAGAGCTATAGTAAGCGAAGTACCGCATTGCCTCGTTGGGAAGGGAAAATGATATGGTCGAATTGCGACCCAAGGGGCAGGAACATATGATGGGGCTACCTGGCGTGGTTTGCGGTAAAATCAGCGAAGTAAACATGGCTGAGATTCTCATCCGATATTCGTGGGGCATGAACGTAGAGTACCAGAAATGGAGTGCAACGTCGGCAGCCAAATGTTCATCTGAAATTGTCCCCAAGATAAGGAGCAAAATTATGTTGCGGCAGACGATAGGCAAGCAACGATCATTGACCAAAATGTTGAGATTTCCTGAAAAGTCGGGAGGAAGGGAGTTAACAGTTCGGATGACATGTCGAAGGTCTCCTGAGGCTTTCAGGTGAGGTGGTAAGCCGTCGCTGGATGGGAGACTAGTAGATTCGATTCTTACCAACGAACGCAAGCGAAAAATCTGTGGTTGAGTCCTTTTCATTTTTGGGTAAATTTAGCACGTCCATTGCGGGCATATTTCCCCACCTGTAGGCTCAGGTAAATTGAGAGATTGACAAGGAAGGAATGGTACCGTACAAAGAAACCCCCGATGAGAATTCATCCATTCCCTTCTGAAGGAACTCCTCAAATGGAGACATCCCATTAAGGAATGAGGCGCGACGATGCTCGACGATCCAAGCTGGCTTCCAACCTTTAGCCAGCATAGGATCCTTGCAATCTGAAACATAACTCCTGTCAATAGACCACCAAAAATGTTTGTTCGCACGTACCTCGCTTATGAACGCGCCAATGAGATTTCTGGCATTCCTGAAATTTCAATGAGAAAAAACCGGAACAAAACTGAAAGAAGAGCACCTTGGAGCAATAGGAAACCAATTTACAGCCACTGCAAGCCATCGTACCTGGATTATCGCAAGTCTTGTATTTTTCGACCTCGACATTTGCGCATTGCAACCTTTGTGGAATGGGAAACCTCGGGGTTTGGTTCTTTGCAAAGGAGTTTATCATCTGCTTCAGGACGTTATCAATGCCTCCACTTTCATCGATCTCATCGAAAGGAGGTCCCCCTTCTGTCCTAGGGTCTGGGGGTATGACGCGGATATTGGCATTCTGAGCAGACATGTTATCGCGATAGACCTGCTCAGCATAATCCCTCATCTGGGGTGGGAGCAGACTCGAGAACATGTTTGTGAGTTTATCCATCGGAGAAGAAACCTAGCGGATAGAGAGTGGAGGACAAGTTGGGGTGCGAAGAAAAGCGAGGGCTTGATCTTAATGTAGATCGATAAGCGCCCGAAGTGTATTTCGAACAACACACTGCCTGCAGGCAGGCATGTGTCTGGATCGTAACCTTGTTTAAAGGAACTTTGAAAGTGGCCGTCCGTCGCACTGTGTACAGCACACTTATTCACGCAAGGAGTTTGGTCTTGATGTTTCTATGTTCGAACCCCCAACTTCATCGTCCAGCCATCCGTGGTATTTCCTTGCAACCTAAACGTCAGCATGATGTAACTTTTCAAGGTATTCCAACTGGCCAAACCATATCAGCGGAACGACATGGCGAAAAAGCGCTCGTCTGCGGCGCGTTGAAGCACGGTTTTGAAACACCGGCATCAAACTGTCTACGTAAAGTTCCGCGAATCACACGCTCACGTGCCATGTCAAAAATGATTTCTTGAACTTTGGACACACATTGGACACACAACATACCATCGATATCATATACTTGGGTGGCCAGGACTCGCAGCCAGCGCTCAGCTTTTTCCTTCACTATGTCTTTCTCCGCCACACCTGTGGAGATTGTTACTGAGATCATTTATAATCTCAAAGATAGCCGCGCCGCTCTCAGGTCATGTTCGCAAACTTGTAAAACCCTGCTTCCCATCTGCCGCCAGCAGCTATTCCGCACCATCCACCTCGACTCTCAATCAGACAAAATTTCATCTTTTGGAGGCATCTTGTGTCGTCGTCCAGAGATCGCCGATTACGTTCGGGCACTCTCGTTTGTGCTTCATGCTTCGGACCTAGGCGAAGACGTCCCCCGTGTCTTGAACAAGCTAGATAAAATATCCGAGTTCACACTCATAGGGCCTCGAGCCCATGATGATTGGGAAGATTTTGACGAATCTCTGAAGCAGAGCATTCTCCGTATCATTCATTCTCCAGGACTCCAAACCCGGCCGTCAATAAGCGGTAGCAGTCCTCATAACGTTGAGTTCTGACCTGGTGAGTCTGAATATATTCGATGACTGCGCAGACAAGTGATGACACCTTTCTAGAGGTATTCAGATGTCCGATATAAGTATGGTGGGTAATCGCTTAACTTTTCTGTCATGACCATCCAACTCGGGTTCTAGTTCGTGTGACGGAAACGTATCATGCACTACGGTCTACGCACCAACTTTGAGGTCATTGTGGCATGAAAGCACGGCCAGTATGAGGAGGCGTCCAGGGGTGGATGCAGAGACTCAGACGCTAGAAGTCTGAGGAGTGAGGAGGCTCGGCATCACAAAAAGAAAAACAGCACAGCCGCGTCGCGATTTGCTCTCAACGTTATCACGTCGAGTGCATTCTTCGGGCCTTTCTCGCTCCCCGTTTTCGAATGGCGACGTCCAGCTGTCATGACATTTGACCCTCGTGCAACCCAAACCGCACTGAATACCGACCCGTCAGTGTTCATCTGAACTCACTCCTTGATGGCAACAACCAGGCGACAACGCAGTGATGCCGCGGAACGCAGCTTGGGGTGAGTTGATACGGGAAGAAGGCGTATCGGGATAGATAGTCCGCTGGCGGAGGATGAATCCGCAAAAAGGGTACCTGGGTGAGTTCCGTCCATGTCGCTTCGTATATCAGGGGCTGACTTGGTCCCCAGTTGGAATCGGGCCCTATACGGCATCCGGCCAAAGCTCTTGGTCAATGATAGTGCTCCAGACTTGCCGGCAGAGCCTTTTGCGTAATTATCTATGTCAGTTTGGGTCTTCACACCTGCTATCTAGTATGCGCGGCTGATCGGGTCTTCAGTTGAACTGGACGGGTTGAGGTATGTGGTCGCAGAAGCATTGTATGCAGTTTTCCGACGATCCCCGGCGCTGATCTTCTTTTCTAGGTCTGCACTGATGACGAAGAGGTTTCGGTCTGTGCTCTGCACATGCTCCTACGGAATTCGCACTCAAGGCTCTTGTTTCTCATCGTTTGACCTTCCTGAGGGGAAGGTTGAGGACTTTGCAGCGGAAAATGCCCTAGTCTTTGGAGGCTGCTAGTCCAGCTGAACACAGACAAGCAACGACATCCTGACTCCTCTCAAACCACGCATGTACCATAGCGAGTGGCTCCGTTTCTCTTTTGTGGATGCGTGGCATATGCAACGTCCTTCCTTACCATCCTCTCCGCCCTAACTCTCCGCCCCCTTCTCCCAGACTCATTCCCTCTTCCTGGTTAAAGTCGAACCTCTCTGGAGTTTTTTTCGATCGTCACTTTTCTGATCCCATTCTCCCGCCTACCTCCATCGTCGTCCCCCTCTCGATCTGATCTTGAAAGGCAACCGACTTCCACCTTACCTCGGCGAAATCCTTCTCAGTGTTCACAATAGACCCGTCGTCTCATCTCCCTCCTCCCCATCGATAAGGATCGCTGCACATCCTCAAGTTTCCTTCGGCTTCGCTAGCCATCAGAAGTTCTTTCAAGAATACCATCTACATTCAGACAGTCATCTTGAGTGCTTCCAAGCTCAGTTACTTCCTTCTCAACTTGTCCGGTGACCAGGTGTTATCTCAACCGACGTATTATTGCCAAATTACTTCTAGCGAAAAAAAGGCGATATAAAAGGGACGCCCCACGGTTGCAGACTTTTTATACGAAAAGGATATTCATCGGGTATAGCCATGGAAACACGGACAACACGGATTCCGTCCTAACTTCAACTACGGCTGTAGATCGTCCTTATTTAACATTCGGTTTAATCGTCTCGTCGTTTCTCCCAGACACTCTTGCTTTCAGGCAAAGATGCACTTGAAAACTCTCTGCAGCGCACTCCTCTTATCGTTCCTTCCCACTATCACTGTGGCATACGTCAGGCCTGACCTATACTACATCGTGAATCGAGTTACCCCTCGTCGTGGCGCTCCACTAGCAGTTACCCTCTCTGGAGAAAATAAGCAAGCTGTGATTTCCACCAAGACAATGTCCCCTACGCAGCAGGTATGTGGTGAATGCCAGACCTCCTTACCGACTTTGAGATGTTTTTTTAGTGGTACATCACCGAATTCGACGGCAATGGACAGGCCATTGTGTCTGCCTCTGACTCGTCCTTAAAAGCTGCTCGGGTTGGGAACTCTCTTACCACCATCCCGCACAGTTCACAAGTATGGAATATTGTCCAGACTCCTGATGGATACTACAGGTGGGTGGGCTGGACGGTCATGTCGACGCGTAGCTCTTGGCTCACGAAATTTAATTCAGGATCCAGAATCCTGGAGGCGGGGCCAAGTGGGGAGTCACGAGCGCGGATTCTGGATCTTCGGTATAGATGTTCATGTATGGTTTCCCCTTCGTGACGACTGACTGATCGTAGGTCGTAATTGGAACCGAGTTTGGCCAGAAAGGAGAGTGGATTATTGAGGCGGCCTAGTGGTACGATTTGATTCCCTCCCTTACTTACCATTGACTTTCGCTGATGAAGTATCATCTCAAGCCACAGATTATTGGAGAACGGTGATCTGAATATGTTACATTGTCGAGTTGACCGTGCTGTACTTGAATTATGAGATTGCTTTTCCCCCCAACTCCTATACTCATTGTACTCGGCCAGGTCCCAAATATGGTGTCGTTTCAACCTCTTTCAATTCGCCGTCCCGTCCCAAGCCGGGGCTCAGGCCGCAGCTTGTATTTCGGAGTGTGTCTGAATTGGAGTCTACCTATCTCCTCAACGGGTATAAAATGAGTAGGGAGGAAAGAAATTTTGATGTGCAGTCTGCGGAACAGACAGCCTGCTGAGTGATGTGCTCCTGAGCATCCACGACAACCCAAAGGACAGATTCGCATCCTGTGAAAAGTTGACCAATTAACCCAGCGTTACGAGTGGGAGCCGTCCTACATGCACGTATCTGCTGTCGGCATTTTGACTAAATCGCGGCTTTTTCTTGAACAGTAAGACACCAAAGTTCTGTATGCACAAGGCTTGAATGTTGAAAGAAATAGACGTGTCAGAGAGAGATGAGATAGAATCTTTGGGGGGCCAAGTTGAACGTCGAGGGCAACGTTGTGACCAAAGTTTAGTGGAAGTATCTCGAAACAAGGGGGAAAGAAAACATCGCATCAGGATACCATGTATTGAGTAATCGCAGCTCATGCTCAACATCGCCATCGGGCAACACCAAAAGATTCTATAACACGTAGAGTACATTGGATTGGTATTATTCTTGGTATATGACCCCTTAAGCGGTAGAATTGACACCATCCCTGACGGCGATCCAGGAAGGGCGGGACGTGATGTCCTTCCACCACCTTATTTAATCGTCGAACATCAAAATCAGAAACCTGAGTAGAAACAAACTTGACGCACCTAGCAACATTAGGCTTGGTATCGAGAAGGTTGCTGCCTGCTGCGGGCAACAAGGCGCCGTAAGGAATGTGGAAGAGATCAGCAAGGGTGACCTCCTGTGTAAGTAACATCGGTAAAAAGGAAGGAAGAGAGAAGAAGGAAGGAGAAACGAACCTCGCCAGCAACGTACTTCTGCTTGCTCAAGATCTGGTTGTATACATCGAGCCTCTTGTCTAAGTTCCCAAGGAGTTCGTCGACAAGCTCTTGGTTGGGTGTAAGCCCATGCTTACTACACGTCACAAGCTCAGAATGCACCCATCATAAGAAGAACAAAGAGAGCTTGCTTACGGCTTGAACACCTTCTCGAAAATCGCCTTAGCCGCCAAAGCATCAAAGTTGTCCTTCTCAACTGACGCAGCCTGCTCGAAGATAGCCTTGGCCTTGAGTTCCGTAGGGATCAGAGCCGTACCCTGACCCGCGTATTTCTCCGCGATGTATCGGCAAATAGCCCTACTCTCGTACAAGATGAAGCCGTCGTCATCCTACAACCGTGTTGTCATGCCATGATCAGATCATCGACAACGATGAATGAGATAGAAAACTTACAATATATGGAACTTGGCCGAACGGCTGGTACTTCAGATACTCGGGCGACTTGTGTTGGCCAGTCGCGAAATCGATGGGGTGGAATTCGAAGGGGACGTTCTTCTCGTGTAGGACGATGGCAACGCGTTTGGTGCAGGTGGAGAGGGAGGCGCCGTAGAGTTTGAAGACCATTGTAGCAAGGGTAGATTGTTTTGTTATGGGTAAAACTTGCAGCGGTAAGGAATGGACCTCCGTGAGTCCGTGCGGCCTTTTATAACGAGCTCAAGCTTCTATGACGAAGTATCAGACAAATTCGGTGTACGTTATATCGATATACCTGAGTAAGCAGAGGTCAGCAGGATCAATTTCCAGGAACAAGTCGAAGAAAAAGTTTGACTGACGAAAGATCATCATTTTATTGGGTGCCAATCTCATCCAAAGGACGTGGGTTTGACATGTGTAGTGCACAGTAACTGAGTAAGCGCTGACAAAGCGTTGACAAGAATCTCAGCATGTGACCGGTGACCAGTGACCGGTGTGACCTACGCGAACCTACGCGTCGAACTGTGAACAACGTGGATGCATCATGCATTGCTATTTTTGCAAAATCGAGATCAATGGATCCATTCGGAGTTCCTTTAAAGAATCGAGGGAGATCTTTGTAGAAGCCTATGGAATCTTCGTCGCGATGATGAATCAGTAATGGTGCAAATCATTTGCACCATTGACTGACTTCATAAAAAATCAAAACCACAAGATCCTACGGGTGTTAACAACGCTGTTATATAGGACAGAGCACTTGGTTTGAGGGTGTCTGCAAAGCCGCAACATAAACGCGAGAATGGCGATAAATATGTTTCCGAAAGTTCTTCGATCCACTAAACAGGTGCCAATTCCGTTCGGAATTCCTAGCAAGATAAACATCAGTAACACACCGAATTTAGTTTCGTCGTCCCTCACCCAATATTCCCAAAAATCTCCTCGAAACGCGTCCTTAATCCCGCCAGCTCTGTATCTATCTCCCCAAGATCCATCTGGAAAATCTCACACTGACGTATGGACTGCTCTAAATCTTTCGTTCGAGTTATTGATAGATCAGGTTCGTTCGAACCACGAGCGAGGTAGGAAACCACCAGAGTCGCCAGTGCGCCTTTGCAAAATGTCATTGGTGGCAGTCCGGCGTACCAAGAATAGTCGTGGAAACCGCAGTCTGAAAAAGTTATCAGGATAAGTCGTCGAAAATTAGCATTGGCTGAACTACTCCCCTGCTTTCCTGAAGACCCCGCAACAGCGGACAACCCAGTCGTCAAGGAGCCAAGTAAGACTTGCAGGCCGATAGCAGTGTTGAGTGTATACCCCGTCATTCTCGCCTTATTCTTAAATTTGGCTTTTTTGGCTTTGGCTACGTCAACCGTCGGTTGTAGACGCTCACGAACCGAGAGTCGGCGGATTGGCTTGAGTAAACAAGGACGATCGATCAGCACACAATTGAATCAACACCATCAACATCGAGCAGACCTTCTCCGAGTCCACAGGAAGTATCCAATCAATCGTCGACCGCATCGGCATTGACGCATGCGTATCAGTCGTCTTCGCCCGAGTCCTCAAACTTTGGTGTTCCCCTGCAAGACGAGCACTAGGCAACATATATTTTCCTCAGTGGTGTTAGCTTTAGGTTGTGTTGAAGGCAACCACCAAATGATCAAGAACCTTGAACACCCTCGTCCGAACCCACCCATCCACGACTGGGATGTCTGGGTTGAGAATTGGAGAAGGGACCCGAGGAGGAAGGCGCTGGGGATGCATGGTTTAGAAGTCGGGAGATTCAAGTCGCTTGTTAATGCAAGAGCCTTTTCTCATGAGGGTCAAGTACATGGAGATGAAGATTGGCACAGGGAAAAAGCGATCATGTAAGGGCACCTGTCGTGGGTGGGTCCTTGCGTCCCAAATTTATCTGTTGAAGCATACTCGTGATCAATCTACGCAGTGAGGGATCTTTCATTACCGAGAGAGACGGCTGCAAAACCATGGCCAAGGCAAGAAGTCATGCTATTTTTACATCGATAAGTAGACGTTGAATAGAATCAAACAAAACTCACCAGACATGTGATTTGAACACGACAGAAAATCTCAACTTTCTCCGAACAGCCAGCAATATGGTCCGTCGTTGAGAAGGGGGAATGACCTGGAATGAGGTGTCTCGTAAATTGGAGAGTAGCAAGGATAGCACTGAGCAAACACTGCAAGCACTGAGGTAACGGGGACGGAAGAAAAAAAGCACAGCCACTCCGACCCTTCTTCACAACATCGCCATCAACAACGTCGAGTTGACGTCGAGTGCGACTTACAGCTGACATACATTTTGCCTATGAACACCCTACCGATCTCCCTTGATGTTTCCTTGAGTCCACTCTCCTTTCGGCGACGACAATAGCTCAGTGACGGGACGGGACCTATTTGTGCGTGGAGCATTATCTAGGTCAGTTTGGGTCCTTTGACTTTCTATATGCACAGTTGATTCGGTTTCTAGTGGGATAGGACGAGTCGGGATGCTTATATGGTCGGCACACCAGTTCAAATTCGAATGACCTTCGTTCTTCTAGTTGGGATCAGGGGTATGGTGCGCAATCCGTTCTACGATTCAGCTGGGTGAGTTGGGCTCTCATATCGGTTGCTATATGCGAAGCTGACTTTGTCCTTAGCACTCAACGCTTTTTTGGATACGCTTCTCGCTATACGTTCAAGCGAAAACCTGTGTTATCGAATGTCTCGTGTTATCGCATCATCAAGGTACTTCCTAACGTACCATTTTTCTCGGATTTCGCGCTCAACCGCGGCCCACTACGGATGCGGGTTCCTCACCATTTGATTTACCATCAGAAAGGTCGGAGCTTCTGCACCTGAAAATATACCACGGGTTGGTGAGTCCAGTTCAACACGGGCGACCGACGACATTCTGACAAACCACGTTCAGATGAGACAATACCAAATGGCTCCACTTTTTCTTCGTGGAAAGATGGCATACTCACCGTCCCTCCTCACCATCCAATCCATACCCCTCTTCTCCGCCCTACCGATCCGCCCTTCCATTCCACACACTCAATTCCTCTTCCTTGCCAGACTCAAACTTCTCCAGTCTCAGCCAGCCAGCTTCTCGGAGAGATGGTCTTGATCTTTCCTTTCCTGATCCCCTTCTTCAGCGTCCTTCATGGCCCTTCCCGTCTTCACGAATCTCTCACATTCATATGAGCTTCATAAACGCATAGAGTTACATTAACATTCACACAACACGTCCCACCATGGTCGCTCACCTCTTCTTAGGGGGAGGGGAATTCCGCCTTACGGTCATCCCTGTTGATGCGGATGCTGTGCAACAGCTTTTCCAACGACAATTGTAAGCCAAGACTCCATCGCCTGGCTACCCCTTCGAGCTGTTACATATTCTCCCGCTCATCACCGCTTTAGATAATGCTCTGGATTTGATGTTGAACGACGACCAACTTGTGCCTCACACTGTTGAAATTCTTTTCGGTGTTGATAACAGGCCTTCGTCTCATCTCTCCACATTGTTGTCATTGTATGCTCGTTGAAAGAACGTTCTGTCATTACCAGCGATTGGGCGCCCTCACCATAATAAAGCTTTCTCATTGCGTCTCTCTCTTCTCTTGTGGCCACTTTCAACACGTCTTCAACCAACCACCTCTCCGTATTTTGCACCCCTCTCTGGCAAATGGCCAGCATCTACCTGATCTGAGGCTGAGACGGAGTCGAGGCATATTATATCTCTTCCTTCTCTCCCTCGGCTTTTTCCCTCTCGCATTGTTGATCACCTTCTCGACCAACACCGTAACTAACTCCATGATCTTGCGGTTTATCATCATCTCCAACGTGATCTTTCTACTCGCGCGACTCCGTCTCGTCCGCGGTGGCTTTGCTCCCCCACTGCCTTTAATTCTTGGCTTTGCTTCTCTCTATCTCTCCTTCACGGCTACTTAGCCCGAGATCGCCGCGGTCTTTCGAGGCACGCTTTGACTCGTATCGCCTTTTCCTCTATGAATGAGCCTACAACCCCCCCCCCCCCCCCCCACACACACACGTGGATCTTCCGAATGTAGCTTAAAAGTTGTTGTTTGGAGTTCTTTGGACAAGCCTCTACAATCGTCATCTCACCATGTGCTTCGGAAGACGCCAAGTAAACCCTGGGCACCTTCTTGTTTGGGGCATCGCAACCGTCAGCGGGGGCCAAAGAACAAATCCGGCAGGTGATTAGGGTATAGAGATGGGGCATTCAAGTCAAAAATCTGGGGATTCCGGGCATTTGATTCTGTTTGTAAACGGGGTCTCTGCTACGGACTAGGTATACTTATGTCCTTGGAGGTCGAGGGCCTGCATGGTAGTGAAGGCTTTTCAAGGTGTAAGGTCTTGGATTGGACGCGCGCAACGGACGTCGTTGTTTGGTTCTGACAAGGTTTTGACCCCATCATCCACATCGTGATCAGAGCTGTTTGTCCTCATTATTCTTCGGGGCTTCCCCAAAGCTTACCGTTTGCAAACCGTTTTCTCCGCTTCTAGTCTGGTTACGTATGCCCTTCACCATCCCCCTGTTTTCGTTGTTCAGCATGCAGACTCTTCCATGATTCTCGTATACGGGTACGAAATTCGGTGGCTCATCGAGTCATGTCCCCAGGCCACACAGCATACTCAAGGCCACAAAGCGCAGCCTCGAGGCAAGCTTTGCCATCTCCCATTTCATCGAACAATAGGTGGCCTCCGATCCGTTCGAAGCACGTGCGTTGACCTATAAAGTGAATCGCCTTTCTAGAATGGGCATTCCGTTAACATTTCGATCAACTCCGGTCCGACATCATCAATATGCCCCGCGCCCGCGCCGTTCGCTTTCAGCTCACAGAGCAACCTCCAACGCTTAGGACCAAACCACGCCATTCAGACCCTCGCATCGTACCACGGGGTATCCTTAGGATACCACGAACACTGCGGACACAGAACCGGTCAAGTTCAAATGGTATGCACACTTTGACGCGGTTTCTTTGGCCATCTCTGATTCTCTGTGGCAGTTTCACAGCATCAAACGGTAGTTCACCAAGGCCGTTCTGGACGTAACAGGTCGGCTTCGCTCTCTACGTCGTCTTCCACGACCCTCGTTTGCGTGAACACTCAGCCGGCCTTGTCTCATAAACGCCAGGCGGCTGTGGATTTCGGTCGATCCCAACCTTTTACAAACGTGTCGAACGATGTCAGGAGTGCGCAACATACATCTTCCACCGTTCATTGTCCTCAACCAACGCGTCAAGCTCTGATGCCACTGACTCCTACCCCTTGGAATCAACCTCAGCCTCCGGTCACCACGAATTTCTCGATCTACCGTCCCTCGACACCATCTCGCTTTACGCCATACGCGCCTCCCTCGCAATATACGAATCGCGAATGGGAAAATCGTGTCCCGGCAGTTCAGCACGCGCCTTACTTGCTGCCAAGTTCGCCTATGCATTGGACGAGCGTTCCCAGCCAGCCTCCCCCAGAACCATCGCTAACAGCATCCACCATCCATCTTGGCCCGTATCTCCATGACAGAAACTTCAGCTGGAACATCATTCATTCCCCTTCCTTCGCTGCCTACTTCTCCGCAGGCGGTGTGCCACCCGACATCAGTATGCATGCCACCGATCCACCCATTCCCAAACTCACAATCAAGTTCTCCCTCGCCCACCTGTCGGACTGGAATTTGAAACAATGGGATCCCCTTGTGGTTCGCGGTACTGGCTCCCAAGGTGTCACAATCCGCGACGTCATCGAGGGGATATACGCGTATTTTCAGACCCCGCTGAGATATCACGAGTACAACTATCGAAACATAGAGGACTATCGGCTTCTTATGAATTCGTATGCGAGAAGGGTGACTTCGCTGCGGTATCAAGGCCTGGGGCTACCTCATGAAGATCTGAGGAGGGTCGACGTTCTTCTGGGAGCTACGCATTTTATGGGGCTGAAGCTGGCGTCTGTGAGGGATGGCCGAGTCAAGTTCTTCCTCTCGCTCGGCTATGACTCGAGTTACTGAAGAAGCGTCGCTCTTCACACTCATGACGACCCTCTGGATTCTGGGACCGGCCCTTTGTTTTGCTGCTCTTTCCTTCACGACCTTTCATGACCATCAAGAACTGGATCTCTCCGCCGAGTGCTAGGAACTATCGTATCAAGTGTCCTTTTCCGCGATCTGGCTCATGATTCCTGACGACGACCCTCACGACGTACACGACATGTTACGACGCCATTTGTAGATATATGCACTCCTGTACCTTTTGTAAGCAGGTCACCAGCTTTTCGTTGTAGCCCTAGTTGTGTATCGTTTGATATTTAGTCCTCATAGGTAGAACATCCTTTTGTATTCGGGTAGTACAAAAGCTACTGGCGCTCTGTCAGCGCCTTGACTCTCCCTCGATCAGTGGCGCTCATCACGTGTGACACTCAGTAAAAACGATTCGTCATGTCTCGGTCATATGGTAGTCACGCTACTACACGAAAATGCACGACATGACTAAAAGCAGTCTTTTTTACAAAATTTTGACTTCAAGTTGACTTCGCCAAGTCGTGTTAAGTCGTGTGGTCTCGTCTGTTAATGCCCACCATCTGCAGGTTACAGTCATTTGGTAGTCATGTAGTTGTCTTTTGAGAGTCCTTCCATAGTCAAATAAAAGTCAGAAAACAGTCATATAATAGTCTCATTCCGTCATGCTCAGGTCATTTGATTGATGTATGTTAGTCATGTATTTCTCTTCAACCTCAGGTAACAGTATTCTCAGCACCACATCGGAGTCATGTCAATGTAAAATCATTAATTCTCCAAGCCTACTGAGTCCTGACTATGCTATATATAGGCCCTTCTAGCTGGAATCAACCACTCGAAGTCCAAATTCTCATCTCCTAATCATAAACCTCGAGCGTCGAGAGGAGGCCATTTGTCGAAGGAGGGAGGAGACCGTGAAGTCGGGGGAGGCCGAGGAGACCATTCATCAAGGCAGGGGGGGGCCGAGAGCCCATTCATCAAGGGAGGGGGGCAGTTCATCAAGGAAGAAGACAGTTCGTCGAGGGGATACCATTCAACGACAGAAGACAGTTCGTTGAGGACAGCGAGGGAACACAGTAGATCGAGCGGATACCATTCATCGAGGGAGAAATCAGTTCGTTGATGGAGGAAACCGTTCGGAGACCGTTCGTCGTCGAGAGAGGAGGCCATGCATCGAGGAAGGAGGCCTTTGGTAATACATGGGAGGAGACCGTCCGTTAGGAGAGGCGGCCACCCGTCGAAGAAGGGAGGAGGCTAGGAGGCCATCCGTCGACTTGTGAATTGGACCTCTCGACGTCGATATGGGGGGAAGGAAGAACTTGGGAAGAACAGGATTCTCGCGCTGTCAAAATTCAACGTGATCAGCTGATGTCGGAGTTTCAACGGACTTAGACAAATTGTCCTGTTGCTGTAAGAAGACGAAGGCAAGATGATAGTGATTCGGTTGACAACGACTAGACTACAACACGGCATGTAATTGACTATTCCTTGACTTCAGTCAGGCCGTGAACCTGTAGCAAATACATCCCTGAGCAATCCCCGAGCGCCACATGACTTTGAATTTACCAACATGACCTAACATGACTTCACATGACCTTCTTGCGAGAGGTCCATGACTTGACTTGACTTTCGTTTTTACTGAGTGTGACACTAAGTATGCCTGGGAATTTCAATATTCCATTTTTTTGCCTTCATCTTGCATGATCCACTGTCGACGGAGCAGCCGACTTCTTCCCCCTGTGCGTTATCGGACGTGACACGTTCGAGATGATTCCTGAATGCTCTCGCTTGGCTCCGGACGCCTGAAGTAACAATGAATTTCCATTAGTACGCTGCATAGCTGATCACGCATGGTTCGGAAAGGAACCTTGCAATTGGGTGCACGACAATGGCGTATCCGATTCTTTGATAGCCTTTGTGGCATTAATATCAAAGTATCCTTGTCGTGAGGGACGTTGATAGTCCAGGCCGAAGAAGAGACGTGGCACTTCTGCATCCTCAGTGCACACCCCTCTCTCAATTTCATGTCCCTACTTCGCATACTGGACAGAAAGCCGAGTCAAGTGTCTATGACTATCAATGTTGCAAAGGTCGATGCTGCTCAAACCGCGAAAACTCAGTTAGGTCTCGCCGCGGCAACAAACCTCTCAGGGGAAGATACGCAACCGAGCGTGTTCTCGAAGGAAATAGCGACCACAAAGGACCCGTCACTCAACCCAGGGACTTTAAAGTTCGAAGAAGGCACGCCACTGCCCCTGATTCCTCGTTCATGTTTGATTGAAGACCTTTAGATATCGCTGGGGGGATGGGCCGACACTTGGGTGTCTTCAGCTGTACCATGATTATGTCGGCTCTTATCTTTTCCCTGATCCACGTGTGTTGGCCGTATCATAGGAACTGGAATATTTTCAACCCCTTCCTCGATCATCTCCTCCGTTGGCTCTGTAGGTGCATCCTTGATGCTCTGGGCCCTCGGATTTTTGCTCTCCTTTTGTGGCTTATTCGTATGGTTGGAGTATGGAACCATGTTCCTTCGCTCTGGAGGCGAGAAGGTCTACTTGGAAGCAGTGTATAAGAAACCAAAGTACCTGGCGACCTTTATCTTTGCAACGAACGCGATTTTATTGGGGTTTACTTCTGCCAACTGCATTGTACGCGTGCCCACTCCCTCATCTTGGTTCGATATCTCTTATTCCTGTTCATCCACTCATGTTACAGATCTTCGCGAATAAGTAAGTTATTCTCAATCATAGTTCTTTCCGATCTAAGGTTCATGGTGATTGCCCTTCAGCATCCTAATTGCAGCGGGCCACGCCCCAGATAGATGGGTTGTGCGCGGAATTTCACTTGGTGGTAGAGTTTCTTTCTTTCTTTTGTGACAGTCTTGATTATATCTCACACCACAAGCTATCTGTTTCGTCACCATCCTTCATGGGGTGACACCCAAGGTTGGGGTATATCTGATGAATGTCTGTGCTGGCTTTTGTTTCCACAAATTCCCTGAACCTATGGACGATCTCAGGTGCTCAGTGTCTCTAAAATCGCCATACTCCTCTTCGTCGTTATCACTGGTATGCATGATTATGATTATGTTGGTCGAATCAATGGATGCTCATTCTTCTAAAGGTTGCGTGGTGCTATCTGGAAAAATGCACATCAAAGATCCACTTGCAAATTTCCGTAACATTTTTTCTGGAAGCTCACATAGCAGTAACGATGTTCGTCTCAACTCCTCCTTTGATAAACTTGAAATACTTAGAATGCATCACGACTAGTACCCAACAGCCACTTTCAAAGTCCTCGACGCATACGCTGGGTGGGAAGGTATAAATTACGTTATGAATAACGTCAGGAATCCCGTTCAAACGCTGAAAATAGCTGGTCCACTTGGACTAGGAATCTGCGCCGTATTATACATGTTGGCTAACATAGCTTACTTCGCGTGCGTTTTTCCCTGCCATCTGTTTTACATAGCCAAATTTATTTCGTAACACAGAGGTGCGACAAAGGATCAGATACGCGAGTCCGGCGTCACCGTTGCAGTTCTATTTTTCAAAAACGTTTTCGGTACCAGGGCAGAGAAGGCTCTATCTGTCATCGTTGCGCTGCGGTAATGTTTTCTGTGTTTGACACTATTAGTCGCGTTCTTAACCAAGCTCTACAAAAAGCGCTTTAGGCAATGTAATCACAGTTGTGCGTGCTCTAAAGCATAATAGATGTTTACTTCGCTAACGTAGGACTCGTTTTCAAGACATTCGCTTCCTGTCGTGTAAACCAAGGTACAATTGGAGAGCTATTCTATCCTTCACGAACTATCTCTTACTGAATCAATTGATAGAACTAGCGAAAGAAGGCATCCCACTTCCATTCGGAAACAAATTTTAGGCGTCGAATTGGCCAACGGGGAAATCCCCGCTGCCCGGACTCATTATTCATTTGATACCTTCCGTTCGGTCCCCCGCATGTGTTTCCTGCGCCCCTGAAAGAAATACTGCGCCAGATAATTGTCATCATTGCACCCCCTCCCGTGATTATCTACCCTTTTATACTGGACGTAGAAGGATATCCGCAGCAGATTATCAACCTCTTCATCGTCGGTGTAAGTCGTTATCTTTCATTACGCATCAAAGTTGTGTTAGCTAATTGGAATCAATAGGGTCTTTTCTGGCTGAGATGTAAGAAGCCGAACGCAGTCCGTCCATTCAAGGGTGAGAGTCATGCATAGCCTTTAACCGACTGTCGCTTATCGTGGTTCCCAGTCTGGACACCATTCGCACTATTCTTTCTAGTTGCAGCCGTCTTTCGTAAGCCGCCTGATGGTATTTTAAATTCGTTTTTTACTAATGATATATTAGTAATCGTCGCACCTTTCCTTCGGCCTGCAAATCGCGTGGAAGACACGCCCCCACTGCCATACTACTTGTGAGCCCATTTAACTTAAAAATTATTGTGAGACCTCAAAGTGGCGCACCCCAGATACTGCCTCGTCGGAATCGGGGTTATGTTCCTTGGTGTTGTGTACTGGGCTGTGTGGCGTATTATGCTGCCCTACATATTTGGCTACACATTGGTCCCAGGAAAAGATACGCTTAGTGATGGGACTGTTGTGACCGTGGTCAGTCTTCCTTGGATCAGGGGGGTGTGTAACTCGCTAATTCTGATCCACTAGTTCACGAGAAAGAAAATGGAGTAGAGCTAGGCGTTCCATTGCCGGGGTGTCAATCTTGGGGGGCAGGACTTTCTGAGAAATTGGATCAGTAAGGAAAGACAAATCTGAATGTATTTCTGTCAGTTGCCGGACTCGTAAGGAGTGTCCCGTCCCTGCTCTGTGTTACGATGGCGTTGGGTCAATACCCTCGTCTGTTGCAGATCTCGTAACATTTTTACTGGGATTTATCCGACAAGAGTCAATGAAGATGAGACCAAGTTACTCGCCGCTGCTCCAGACATTTTGACAAATACAAAACGTGTTGAAATGCATGATAATACACTTAAAGTACAGGTACATATTGAAAGAGCGTCGGGGTCAACCTCACAATGTCAAGAACGGGTCAGTCTTCAAGATGACAACGTATCAAATGGGGGGAGAAAAGCATGTCTATGCCTTGAAAAGAATTCTTTTCGTCCCACCGCCTATCCCCGACAAAACCTCAATTCCGGCCACCTTCGTCCTCCCCTTCAAGTAATCGATCCTCCGCACCCCTTCCTCCCATCCCGTACCATCGGCGAGACACCGTTTCTCATACGCCCTTGCAACTTTTCGTTGTGATGAACTCCCGTTTCCCAACGCTTCCCATTCCTCTCTAGTCACGCGCGTGTACATCGTTTGGTGAATCGCGAATAGCAGGTCGAGGTTAGTGATGGCGGGCTCGGGCGGTTGTGCTATTCGGCGTCGATGGCCTGCCACGGCTGGGGTGACAGGTCCCCGTCCCGATGCGGGAGCGACCACAACGTCCCAAGGAACCCCTTCAATCTTCAATTCCAGCTTTCCTGTTGTCGGAGGCTCCGTAGCCGGTTGAAGCAGCAGATACGCCGGAATGGGAGAGTGCGTTATTCGGTCAATGATTGTTTTTGACGAAGGGGAGCAGGCAATATCATAGGAGATAGGTGAGCGTGATGCTCGCGAACAAGCGAGGAGGGGATGCATCTGAACGATGATTGATCTGTTAGGATGGGTGAAAGAAACATGGCTTTCTATATGAATGTGGTAGTTAGGTGCGTTCGGAAATAACACGAATTACGATTGGTACTCACGGTGAAATCGGCCGTCTGTTGATGAGCTCTTACCCGCCGGCTTGAGGCACGATTGCTTCTCGGAACTATCCCCACCAGTAACCGAGCTGGATGCCCGAGGTGCACCTGGAAGCGGGGCGTATTTCGGTGGAGACACGCTAAGTGACTGATACTTTTTATCGACGGACGGGGGAGAGGAGTAAAATGCATCAGAGTCTTCAGAGGACGCTAAAAACGTCCAAGAAAGATCAGATAAAATGGAATAATCAAATGCTATAAGGCGTACAGAGCTGCGCAATTTTGTGAATTTTCTTCAGGGCGGTGTCGGAAGCCTTCGGACATTGTTTTCGTGGTGCGGGTGTAGTGAGAGAATATACATGGCTGTGGCGCGCGCTCTTGGGGTTGCGAGGCGCGTAGATTTGGATGCTTGATGCGCCTCTTTTATTGGTGGGAAAATCTTGGGAGCCACGTAGATGAGTGCTCTCGGAGTCGCTGGCACATTTTTCTCTGCGTGGACGTTGTCTCGACGGTTGGGTGGATGTCATAGTGGATGTCCGAGTCCCAAAGAATGTCTGAATGCACGACGGCATTGGGGGGAGGCTAGGAAAGAAAGGACACTGGTTCAATTTCCTTGCAGGGTTATAAGAGACTTGCCGCGCTGGAGAACCCGGTTGACGGACTTGAACGGCGTTTTTTTTATTAAACGGATACAATATGCACCCTCGTAAGTCTACATCAAGGCGAGGCGGACATAGTGATCGTCGCTGATGTATAGAAGGGGACTTAGTTAGGAAAGGAACCGCCTCTCTTCGAGGTTGCGGCCTGTGATCAACTCAATGATCAGGCAGGGAAAATAAACGTCGGTTATGGTACCCTGCAGGGAATGGCAGGGACGAACTACCCGACTTTTAGGCCTGGCCGACGTTCACAGGCCCACATTCAAGACGAAGATGCTCCTACTGACGAGTTTATCGTCGAAGGAGCGAGTGAGGATGCAAACAAAATCAGTCAGATGGTGCAAATCCCAAAACAAGAACGACAAGGTTTCAACTAAAAAAGAAGCTTGGGGGCCTTCGCATTATCATGCCCGCCTGCAGACTGGCGGTGCTACCGAACGCCAGACATGCTTCCCATATGAGGGTGACGCGAACGTTCAATTAAACAACAATAATTTCTTCAGAATCCCTTCAGTTGTCGCAGGTCGTGGATACTTACGTTCGCCAGGAACCAATTGACATCTAGATAGCCGGAAAATAACCGATCGTAACAAAAATGGCCTTGCCGAGGAGGAAAATGAAGTCAGCGGCCCGATTTAAACAGAAATAGACTGTCCCCCTCGTGCTCAAGTAGCTGCTGATCTATGTGTCGGTCTTGACATGTCAAGGAGGGCTGAAGACATTTGACGTACGAATTATTGTTTGGGAGACCTAGAAAAATGGGAGCCTCTGAGTCAACCTCTTCGAGGCTTGGTGGAACCTTCCGCGTTCGTTTCAGCCGTGACTCATGAAGCAGGGTTTAATGCACTATTATGCGATCAGAACTTATGATTCAGCAAGTCAAATACGTATCAGAAACCTGTCACAACAATCGCTGCAGGACTGATAATAGAGGCATGATCAGATTTCTTGATCTTATACTAAGTTATAGAAGTCATGCAAAGTTGATGCAAAGAATTCATACCTCGTGATCGATCTGCGTTGCAAGAACCATTGGATGTGAAATCTTTCAAAGAAGATGGGAGAGGGAGAATAAAACTCGCGCGGTTCAGATACTCTAGTGTAAAATCCATGTTGCGAGTGCCAGCTCAGCGCTCAGCGGTGAGTGGCTGAGCTTGGGCTGAGCGCAAGTTGTCTCGAACGTAAAAAATCACGAGCGCCACGTGCCGCTCAGTGTTTGAGGTGGCACGTGGCCCTCTATTTGGTGTTGCTGATAGATCCTCGTGTACGTCGGCTAATTCCGCTGCACAGCGGAGCGTCGATGTCTCGCATTCCCGAGTGGCCCGAGTAACTGCAGGTCACTCGACCTTGTACGTCTTCCCGCTTGAGGAACTTCACTCCTCTTCTCCTCGCATCATTACCCTCTCGCCCAAAGCCCACACGCTTCCTTCCCTCCGCCGTTCTCCTCGCTTTGTCTTCGCTTCAGAGTCGATGCTTCTATATCCATAAACAAAACCATCGCTACTGACTTTGCGAAAAGAATATTCTTAGGGGTTTCCCAGCCTCCGCCCCGCCAACCTCTTCTCATGTAGCCTATGTGGTATTCATGCATTGCTGGTAGTACACTAGCAAATAAATTGGTTCTACGCAAATATTTCAACTAACCAAGAACTGTATTCACAAAGGCCTTGGAGTTAGTATAAATAGCTTCACGCGATGAACGCGACGTGTACAAAACTTGTATTAAATCACGTGTGACGGCCTCGATAGATCAGGTTGAGTTTTGTTCGAGGTTCTTGGAGAATTGTTGGAAAATGGATTTTCTGACATGTAATAGAACTCCAATTAGAATTAGAATCTATTAATCTTGTACTAGTATCTTGACTGTATCATGAAAGAAATTGTAGTCGAGGCCAAGTCGAGGCGAAGCCGGGCAAGCCCTTATAATACCTCACCTAGCTCGTGGACTATGATGGGCCTGAATCCCATAGATCTCATACGGGAACTGCGTTTGGAGATTGATTATTGCCTGACGGGCTGCTTCGTCTTGCGCAACCCTTTTACTCCGACCTTCTCCCAAACCAATCATCTGACCATCGACTTTATGCATACAAAAAAAATTAAAGCGACATTATGAATAGACGAATGTCGCTTGGGAAAAGACGTACGCGATGCAGCACATGTCCAGATAGGCTGGTGTCTCGTGCCAGAAACTGTGAGAGCATACTGTGGGAGATATCCAGTGAATAGGTGCTGGCAAATTGTGTTCAAAGCATTTCTGGGGTCTGGAGAGTTCCTGGCGTTAACAGGGCGACAGTTGTTACACACCATAACCCACGCACGATCTCTAATGGACGACTCCATATGTTATCAAGGGAATCTTTTTGGTCTTTTTAGGTCGTCGTAGCGCTGATAAAATTTCCTGGTATATATTAGTACATCTCGGTCAAGATGTTCAGTAAGGACTTACCAAAGCTGACGGAAGGGTGTAGATCGCCGCGAGGGCGGAGGTTTCGACAGACCAAGGCCACTCTATATATACTGCTAGAGACTAGAAGCTGTTTAACGCTCATCTATCGCCAAGGTGTTGCGAAGCTGTAAAAAGGTCAACTACCATTCAAGGCACAAACCCTGGTTTTCTTTCGACAATTTTGCAGGTGCATTCCATTGGGAGTAGTTACGGCACTGTTGTGAAACTAGCTTGGACTGAGCTCGGTATCCCACGCGGTTGAAGAGTCGTAGTGAGAGGTACAGATTCATTCGTTAGTGGAGGAAACTTTCGCGCTTTCATTTTTAGCGTACGAGGGAGACTAAGACTGAATATTGCGTGACGCATCAGTGTTAATGATGTTAAATAGCTGTTGGGCGGCTCATCTTGTGAGGTGCGGGCTGTGGCATTTGGTGTGGTGGCTCCTGATCCACGAGGTATTTTAAAGTGCATGTGTGTGCACTTTTCAAAGAGGATGGCTCCGTCTCTGTGTGATTGTGGCTGGAGGAGTGATATAATGGGCGAATCCATCATCCAATCGTCGATTCGGCGTTTGGCCGCTGTTTGGTGTTGGTGCTACAGCGAAACAACTTGTCGGCAAGTCGATTTTCGTGATCCGATTACATACGGACCCCTTGGCGCACAGGGCTCATCCCCGTGTCCGCACTCAGACGTGCTGTAGCACGTCAGTACAAAGCTTCCCTCCTTCCCTGTCCGTATAACGACCAACTCCCACTAGTGCTGACATAATTGTGGTTTGGCTTGGCCTGCGTCTTACAAGTCACCGAAAAATACCAATGCAGCCGGGTACGATGTAAGAGCTTCAAAGAGGGACTCGCCATGACAAATTCAATTGATACATTTGCGTCCTCCTGCATCTCTCTTCACGGCTTCAACGTTTCTTTTCTGCACAGGCGCGGCATCTTTCGCTCCAACATTGAAGACATTATCCCACTGGATAGTAGTAGTTCGTCCCGCAACTTGGACCACGTCGTTTCTTTTTGAAAGGCAGCATATGTATCCACTCTTTGTCAAACAATCAACAACTGCACGGTGTTTAACTTTAAAGTCCCCCCCCCCTTTTTTTTTTCTCTCTTGGAAGTGTGGAGCTATATACCGTACCCATTATCTTCTTAGGTTGAACGTCTGGCGTTGGGTTGGTTGGCGCGTGGCTCAGCTACAAGCCTATCGTGGTAACATGCCAGTTTCGTGGTAACATGCCAGTTTCACAATAATCAACATCAACATTTCTATGTCCCCCTCATCAATTTTAGTTCCAGATATCAACTTGACGGTTTAACCTGGCCTCATGGTACACTTCCTTTAAAAAAGTTCTCTAGTTGGAGCTGAATTTCTGACGATCCAAAAAGATGAGGTCATACGAAGTCATCTCCCTCAACTGGGCACTATTATCTTAAATATCGCTAGTGTCTCAACAGGACGGAAAAATGATCGGATTATCAGGCTCTGTAACGAGTCAGCTGTAGTATTCTCTACCCACTGATGCGACTGATCTGCTGGATTAGCGAAACCTGTCTAGGATGGTACCCATCGATGCAGCCGGGTTTATTACATCCATCCTTACCAATTGCAAGGAGAAGAGGAGTCGGTTTCTTGGAAGTGTGCTGCGTGTGTCTCTAGGGAAGGCTGGACCCCGCAAGATTAGATGTACCCCCTCCTGAGCGCTTGTACCCTTATCGATCTATAACTCTAGTCCCTTCGTCAACATTGTGAAGAAGTTAGTGGTTGGTTCCCGATCAGGCAGTATTTACTTCCCACAACGACAGCCAGGCTTCCCATGCCTATCCAATCCCTGCCACTAGTTGAACCGACAACAATCACTCAAGAATGGTAGTGACGGCATGAATAAAGGGACTCCCATCCTCTTGGTCAAGAGGTACGCAAAACGATTGTTACCTCACGGAATCTAAAAGGGGCAGAAATTACCTACAGGTGTAGAAATTATGCTATTCTTGACTCCGTGTGTCCATAAAATAACGCCATGAAAGTATGCTTCCACAGGGTCATCCGGTAACTGAAACCGCGACTGAGCCGCTGAACCTACTCCCTCAATACCTTACCACACCCCCTTTCTGTCAACCTTACTCTGTTCAAATTCAAAGGCTTCTAAACGACCAGGCCCATCGGTTTGTCCCCGTAAGTAACGGGTAATCGTCCTTGAGAAAAGACACTGGATCATCGCCCATTGGACTCTCGGCGACTCTGATTTCTAACACCCGTCCAAAAACACAGACCTTGAAAGATCGCTTTATCCAGTGTTAGCTTGAGAGACATGGCGGTAAAGGCCCCTAGGGGAAAAGGGTGATCGTAATGTGTTGCGATGAGGTTTCATTGAAAGAGGTTTTTGGCTTGACATCGCCATCATCCGAATATAGACCACGGTAGACACTCGAAAGCGATAAGGATACAATAAGCCGGAAACCGAGGTGTTATTGGTTTTTGCGCACCATATCTGATTTCCCATGTATCATCTGCCATCGGTTTAAAGCGTCTGCTTCTCCACATCCCCTGTGCTAATTTTATCCTCAGACTCATCGTCACCGGACGCTGATCACGAGTATTCGAGAGTCAGATGAGTTTCTCCCGTGCTCCTCATCCCAGAGTGACAGAAACAGCAATGCGAGTCACCGGTCACCTTCGAATTCTCTTTTGAGAGAACCCGTCATGTGAGAGAGTTTGACAGACTTGATCGAGAAACTTAGCTCTGCACGGGGTGTCTTCGTTCAATTGGACCTCTACTATGCAACTATAGTTGGTGATAGGTCAAATTGTCGTTGATGGTAGATCGAACACGCGGAGCTCCATCAGTCGACTTTTTAGGCCTATCATTGACGGGAGGTGAGCACCATTGGATCTATTTCGGTGGAAGATTGGACGACGAGATAGTGGAGAAACTGGGGTTGATGTTTATGCCCCGAGAAATAAGTTGTTGATGGGTAAAAACTTTGATGGTACTGCGTACCTCATGTCGTAACTAACCTCCCCGACGTTATCCAATTTCTTGAAGGTCAACGCGATTGGCTCTCTCTTTTCGCACATGAGGTGACGCGGTTACTCACTGATCAAATCCTGGCAGAATACAGTCACTGAACTACCTGTCGCTGGTCAACCTCAAGGGATCTGCCGCCTTTCCGAACAAACTGATAGTCATAGAGTTCACGGCTTGTGGTGGTGTGATAACAAGGGCTTGAGCGGGGTGAAAAGAAGAATCACCATGCCTAGAAAAATACAAGTTCAGCCACAGCGCGCTCTCGTCAAATGTAGAGGACAATAAGTAATGAGAGGTACATGTCGCACCTACTGGTCTCACATCTGCCAAATCCTTCGGAAATCGCTATTTAATACAGTTTCCAGTTGGCCTCTCTCAGGGCTCGACGATTAAGGTCATCGGCTCGCGGGGTGTTCAACATTTTAGACCGCGGTTGGAGAGTTCGGAACAGATGGGGCGAGGCATCCACGGCCTGTTAGACTGGAACACGGTCAATGGACTCTAGATGCGTCGCCTGCGTTTAGTCGTGCCGTCTTTCGCCTACAAGGTCGAGGTCTTCGACCTGGTTCAGCAGGTCCATACAAGGTGTTCAACGAGCGCTAGGCTTGACATTAGTCACACACCGGAAGTGCTTTCCCCGACGGCCTCGGGACGTACGATCAGCAATAGCTAGTTTTATTCCGGGGTGAGATCAAGTCGGAATGGGGTCGTTCCGCGTTTGTTGATATGAGCAAGATTGCTTAACAACTTTTGACGTTTATCGGATGGTTTATCAATGACACATGGTGCGCAGTCTTGCGTAGTTAAACGTACAAATTCCTTAGCGCCTTATAGGCTAGGACCCGGAACCGAGGTCCGAGGCGAGACGCGCGTTCAGTTCGGCATTTGATGAGCTTTTGTACTGGGAGTGGGAGGTAATACAAAGTGAAGACATTGTCAATCTAAAAGATCGCTCACGGTTGTCGAAGCAAAACATTAAGTATGGGCATTGAACTTCCCATTTCCCAGAGATGGTGTGAAGGATGAAATTGGCATTGTTCGTTTAAGGAGAGATTAATGTCTCCGACTTCATATCCCAGTCTAGCACATGGAAAAGATAAGATAATGAAGCGGAACAAGAAAATCTAGTCGTATACCTGGTGTGTCCCCTCCGATCAACTGATGGTAACCCTTTGACGACCGAGACAACGTATACTGGTTGCACATGGTTACTTATCGCTCCCTAGGGCCTAAGCTTCTTGCACAACACCGAGACGCACCGAGATCTTCCGGATATGAACAGGGTTGAAAGCAACGAGAAGGGCAATCCAACATACACAGAGCACGACAGGTTTGGGCCGGGCCGTTGTGGAATTAACGCGGCCAGCGTCAGTTCAAAGGGGGCTTTTTGCCAGCGCTGGCGGTGGGAGTGATGACGGTAGATGGTGGGAGAAAACATGGCAAAGCGGATCGAACTGCGATCGTCACGTGTAGATCGGCAATTTGCGACGTGTTGCTATTTATGACCTTCTGGCTGACTTAGGACAAAAAGGATGTAAGTTGTAACGACTTGCTGGCACGAAACGTCATAGCGTAGAGACAAAGGCTTACTTTTGAACCATTGATTGATTACTATTATGCAAGCGATACCCAACAAAAGCCACAGGTCGGTTTAATGGGCAGAGGAAACATCAATTGACCCCAAGCTGAGGGATTTACTGAAAAGGTGGAGAATCGGGAAAATATGGCTCAGAGGTAAATTCGCCAAACAGAAACTCAACTCCTCCATGATGTGTCTATCCGATTTCCTACGACCGTCTTTGACCAATCGAAAGCGCTGAACGCGTGAATAGATTTCTAATCCTGCAGGCTGCCCTACGCCACATTTTGTCGGCCTTCGTTGTCTTCCGTAAGTATCGCAGGACCAGAACAGCCGTAGCCTCTTCCAGAGGTTTCCAGTCGTTTTCCGCATGCCTGATTTTTTTTATCTCCTTATCTTCAGCGTCTGGACCATATCCAATTCGTACGTGAGTCCTGACATCAGGCCTTGAGCTTGTCGCGAGGAGAAGTACAACAAGAGCGCTGGAAACAATACAATTTCTAGCCTCGTGTGGGTTCCTCAAATTCACGTGTCAAATGCGATGGGCGTTTCAAGCAGTTTGATTGTCTACACTGCTACATTACAAGTCGTAAAAGTCGTGTAATACCCCAAGCCTACCGCTTGGGGTTTCGTAAGGCCGCTAGAGAGTCTATGTGATATAATGCGGTCGTAAGTGCGTACATGTAGGTACCTAAAGAGAGATGCGAAAAAAATAAATGATGGTGTCCAGACCAGAATAAATGTAAGGGTAAAGCACGCTCAGTAGATCGAAGGACCAAGTAATAGTGAAAACTTGATTTCACCATCCTTCACCGACGACAACTTCAACCCGTGGAAGGAGGTGTTTCCCAGAAGGGCGTCCTCCCTCTTGGGATCGTGCCCGAGGTACGATCCGTGCTTCTGGCAATCGAGTCTTCTCGTATACGACTCCATGAGATCATGGTAAGCATCGAGCGGTAGATTGTTGTACTCGTGAAACTTGAGCGTCGTCTGGAAGTACGCGTATATCGCATCAAGAATGTCACGTATCGTGACACGCCTGGAATCCCGGGCGCGGACCGTGAGCGAGTTCCATGAATGCTTCATTTCTGAGAAGTCGGGGTGGGGGAGAGAGAAGCGAAGCGTGAGTTTATGTGTGGGAGGCTCTGTGGCAGGAAGTTGGAGATTAGGTATCCGTGAAGGATACGTCGCAGTCGTTGATGGAAGGGTGATATTCCATGTGAACCTGGGGTCGGAGAGGAAAGAGTTTAGCCGGATTTCGGCTTCTGTCCCGCGGTCTGATGATGATGAATAGTCGAAGTGGGGGGTGAGGAGGCTGTGATATGGGATGACGCCCGTGGGCGATGGGATGGCTGTCGACGGTGGGTATCTAGAGCTGTGACGGCTATCGTGGTGCCGGTTCGAAGAGCTCAAAGGAGCTGTGAGTGGCAACCAAGCGTTAGTGATATGTTTCAAAGTGTAAAGCAGAGGGAGAGGTCACATACCTTGCCCGACTTCGTATTCGCCTGGGGCCTTCAGTATGCCCCGTGGCGCACCCTTGTCTTTGTGGTTGGGTTTGCTTTTGAAAAAGCGAGGTTTCTCATGAGCGAGTTGGAATCGAACGTCAGCCATGGCGGAAGAATATGGCGCTGGGGGTATTGATGATGCTAGCGAAGTCAGAGAAGTCCAAGATTATATACAAAAACCCTTTGAGAACGTCGCCTAATGCAATAATCCGCATGTTGGTTGTGGCGCAATCTACCCTGACGTGAGAGAGAGCAGGGACGACGAAGCAGGGAGCCATTGATTGGCAGGCCCGTCGACCCGTCAGGGAAAATAATAAAATCTTGATCTGTTCGCTCGGGAGTCGGTTAGCGTAAAAGGAAATTTTTAATCTCATGTCGTTTTTAGTCAAGTCACCCCCCTTTTCATTCGGCAATGTCCAGGGCTAGATTAGAATTGTTTGGATTTTCCCCTGTTGACAAACATTGCGTGATTCTTGGTCTTCTGATTCCCACTGTCTCACACCCCTCGACAGCAACACCACATGCATGCACTAAAAGGGCTGTTACATCGCCACGACGAGCGTCTTCATCCTCGTGGAACAGATGCGGTGGCTTCTGGGGTTAAAAACATATTCGCATACCGCAAGCAAAGGGGCGTTAACCTGGGAGCTTGGTTCGTGCTCGAAAGATGGATTACTAACGCCCCGTTTCAGTTCGCAGAAGGTCCAGGGCAGAGCGATCTCGACATGGCTTGCGGTAAAGACGCAAAGTTGATCCTGGAATCGCATTGGGATACCTGGATCTCAGAGGACGATTGGGATTGGCTGGGGGAGAGGGGTATCAACACAGTTAGAATACCGGTCCGGGTCGCCTAAATTTTCCCAACGGTATGATACTGACGACTATCAGATTGGATACTATCACATCTGTGGCGCAGATCGAACGGTCCTCGACGGGACCGACTTCTTTCCCTACTATAATGTGTACGTTGGTGCATGGGCTAGGATAATTCAAGCCATTGAAAACGCGGCACGTCGAGGTATTGGTGTACTTCTGGACCTCCATGCCGCTCCTGGGAAACAAAACGATGACGCGCACGCTGGGACATCGGATCGTGCCAATTTTTTCAATGATCCCCATAATCAAAAGTGCACGGTCCACGCTCTACGAGTCCTTGTTAACAACATAGTTTCACATCAACCTCCCCTTCTCAATGTGGTTGGGGTCGAACTAATTAACGAACCACGGCCACCCTCAGACCATGCTTTACAGTCCTGGTACACCTTTGCTATGCATGAGCTTCGATCTTCTAAAATCCCAATCTATCTCGGGGATTGCTGGAGAACGGAATTCTATGCAAACTATCTTGTAGACGAACGCCCCTCCACTCTCACAGTACTGGATCATCACCTCTACCGATGTTTCACCGAATCTGACATTAGGACCTCCGCAGAAAGCCATACTCTCTCCCTTGCCGATCCTAACGCCGAGACGCCGGTCATGCTCGCACGAGCGGCAGAGAAACTTGGCCGTGTGGGATGTGGAATCGTTATCGGTGAGTGGTCTGGGGCCCTCAATCCAGGCTCTCTCAGGGGTGGTACGAAGGAGAAGGAGGATTATGTTCGTGCTCAGCTTGATCTTTTTGAAGAACATTGTGGCGGATGGTTCTTCTGGACGTATAAGAAGCAGGATAGGGGAGATACAGGATGGAGTTTGAGGGATGCCGTGCAAGCGGGAATTTTCCCGCCATGGGTAGGGTTGAAAGCAAAAAGAAGCGCGATCGGCGATGAAGGAAGATGGAGGGAAGCAAGGGATGGCCAGAAGCAGCGGTCCCTTCGTGAGCACCTTTTTCTGTTTCAGGGTCGGCTTCGTTAAAATTTATACAAAGAACTCCATGCCGAGTATTGGAAGAAATTGGGAATTTCTAAGCACGAGCTTTTTGAAGTTGGATTCCGTGACGGGTGGGATGACGCGTATATGTTCTTCAATTCTCAACCCGACTCGGCTGCCGTAGTCGAATTGGGTTTCGATCGCGCCTGGGCGTACAGAAAGAGCAAACATCATGGGAAGTACTATTGGGAGTACGAACATGGCTTTCTTCAAGGCGTTAAAGGGGCCAGAAAGGATTTTGAACACAGTTATTGCTGAGTATCAGCTTCCTTCAAAAGTAGGTTCCACACTGTAATTTAAGTACATCTCAACTTTCTCTTCCTAGTTGAATTAACGGGCCTTTGTTCTTTATAAAGGTCGTGGGGGCCTAAATTATTTCCTCCAGTCGAAGTATGCGAACTTCAAGTTTGGTTGTGTTTGTTTTTTTTGCTCGGCAATTACCGATTCACTCCCTTGCGGATTGAAAAACGACTCCCTTTCCACGATCCCCCATTCTTATGTATAAAACATCTGACGCCCTTTGCTGTACTTTCCCTTTATGAATGTTGTCAATCCAAGGCGGATCAGCAATTTCCAGGCTTCCTGTTCTTTTTTACGCCTCGTGGGTAGCCATTCGGATACCACAATGAGTCTTTGTAGCCAAGTGTATTGCTTTCCTTTTGAAAGAAAAGTAACGAAGTTTGTTTCAAGTCGTGTAAGTGATTTTCAAACAATGGATTCTTTTCCTTGGCACATAATTTTCTTTATGTTTTGACGGCCTTTATGACACCCAAACGATGGCTCTTTGTGTCGTAATCGACTGTCTTTGTTACCTTCATTTCTCCTCCTATTTAACGCGAACCCGGTTCGATTTTTCTGCATCAATTCGCTGTCGCCCTCCTGACATGAAAGTTACTCTCGACTTCGAAATGATGCCACTCCGTCGCTAGTGAGCTCGATATTATCAGCTTTTCGTTATTTATCACTGACATTTATCACCCGAATTTGCAGCGCCACCCCTCAGCCTTGTCCGGATACCGATGTTGCCCCCCAAAGTTCACGTAGAGCCTCAGGAGACGATAGGTACGATGTCGCTTCAACTTGAGTTGGTTAACGAAAGCGCTGATCGATTGCTCAAGCAGAAGCCAAACCCCTCCCCCGAATCCTGATTTGAGGTGTTCCAAACTACTATTGACGCGTGAGTTTTGTTCGCCAGACCATATTTCCGACATCTAACGCCACTCGAGCAGCGAGCCGTCCTAAATTCCTTCTCGTGCTTCTAACAATTCTGGTCTTTATCGCGTGTTTTGCACCCACCGCGAATGCGAAAGCTGGATTTAATGTCAGCGTCGGCATCCCGCCTCCATCCAATCGCATGGAGGCTCGACGACGCGAACTGCTCAAGATGCGCGAACACGTGACTCAACTCAAGTCGCGCGTGGAAGATCTTCGTGTCTCGTTGAGGTTGAGGATCGAGAAGATGGAGTCTTGTCGGGAGATTTTGGCCGTTAACGTTGGAGAATCTGTGTTGCGGGACACGAAGGTGGCACAGGATAATTTGAAAGAATTTATGAAGTGTGTCGAGGACCTCGTCCCCCTCTAATTTTTTTGGGTTCTAGAGAGGGGATTTATTGACTTATGGCTATTTCCTTGGTCTTTTATTTTGGGTTTATCTCACCATCACTTCGTTCAGTCATTAGACAATCTGCCACCTAATCGTTGCTTCCCGAACATCAGAATATTTTGTACGAGCTAATCCGAATCAATTGGAATAATTTTAAATCACCACGTCCACTTTAGAAGCACGGAAGTTGAAAGATGTCCTGACACCACCCGAATAGAAACAAGGTTCCATCGACAGTGGTTTGATGGTTGAGTGCACTGCCTCAACTATTGCCGTCTAAACTGAGCGCCGGTTTGTGAGGAGACCTACGAATTTAAGATTCGTGAGCGGTATACGGATCCGCAAGTGCGCAGGGTACCCAAATGTTCGTACGCCCCATGTCGGATCGTCTGAGATTGCGTGACAGTGGCCACAGAATGGATCTTGTGTTTCACAAAGTTACGCGAATGGCGTGTACATGTCAATGGTAGTAAAAGCATAGTGAGAACCTTGAGGATATCTCTAAAGCAACTCGAAAGTTGAAACGGTTCTCTCAAATTAACCACTTCCCGTCTTCCCTGCCCAAGCCTGGTAAAAGAAAACACGCCACATGCGGATCCACATCCTTACCATTAACGGCTAAATGCACTTGCTCGAACAATCCGTGTTGAAACACAGCGTCTGGAGGGTGTATGTCGTATGCTTTTTCTCTCGTTGGGAACACTCATTGAGCCCTACACGCCCCTGGACTACAGTGCCCATCTTGTAAATTTTAAGAAGTATCTTATTGTCGCTTACGTCCCCCTATTGAGAAATGCGCCTCGTTTAGATGAATGCTTCGTGTGTACGTGCGTAGGGAGCGACTTGTAAAATTGTTATTTTTAACATAGGCTTTGGAACATAGATACTAATCGCAACTCATCCCGTGACGTAAACGCTTGCTCATAATGGAAACGAACTCCTGTGCAGTATTCAGTATATTTGGTGCGCCTGTGAGATGTTGTGCATATGCGTACCCAGTGTCGACGAGGTTTCAACCAGGGGGCTTTCATACACCTCGGTCCTCAAGACCGCGGTCCGCGCATGCACAGCTGTGGTTGTAGCTTTGCTTACAAAATGAGCCAGGCTTGCGCAATGTCCTATCTCCATAGAGCCAGAACTCCTTGCGTTTAAGCGTCGCGCATGGGTGGAGCATTGTCTCGAGCCTCGGCGCTCCTATTTCCCCCGGTTCGCCTGTAAGCCGAGATAATTTGATACCCACCCTTATACGACAATCTGAAGACCGGAAGTTTGAATGAGTGGCGTTGAGGGTGCGTAAAGTCGTTCATGGTCTACCCGCAATTGATTGTACAAGTGGCATTCGCGTGTTGTAAACGTTAAAGGTGAGTTGTATAGCCGTGTCAATTAGAATTGATACCGCTTGGAGGGATTGCAAACAAGTTTGCGCCTTGTATTCAGGTCAGCGTTTACAGCATCTTCGTATATTAGTGAGCTAGCTTCATATCAATTCTTTACACTGCGACGGGCGATACGGACAAGACGAGAAGAGCCCAGCTAACTGGCCATGTTCTTTGATATTCAGTATTAATCCCTGTGAAAGTACTGCTTCAACGTTTCACCAAACCTTTGGCGTTCGTTGAAGGCGCGTGCTGTTGGCATTGCTGTGAAGCTAGTAGATGCAAGGAGATGAGAAGCGATGGAAATTTCCGCCCTGAACCCACGGCGCGTCAACCCTGTTCAAGACATACGACCCTGGCGAGGTCCCGTTTTGGCATACGCATGGGACTCGACTCGGTTGCTTTTCGCAGTGTGATGGATTTGCGATATACTTAAAAATATGTACAAATGAACACGGGATACAGTCGTCTGAAATAGCAAAGCTAAGATTATGGGATGGACCAGCATCGATAAACTACGGCCCGCCCGGGAGTCTTCGTGTACCTTTCAGAGAGCGTATACTTCTCGGAATCGAGATCATATCCGCGAGTGTTAGTAAGGATCACAGGAGGGAAATCGTAAACAGGTGCGTGAGCACTTGACACTGTAAAGTATCGAATTCGCTCGATGTGCTCCAGCGATTGAAACTTCACCAGTGCAGTGAAACGCCTTCGCAACACGCTCAAAAAAAGCGTGTCATGATCTTTCACGCTTGAGCGTGCCCAGATGTGTCGCCCAAATCCACCTAGTCCAAGTCGGGAATAGTTCAACGACATAAGGCCACCAGCGAACGTGGGTTGAAATTCCAAAGTTTTTCTTGTAAATATTATTCCCTTCGACTGTTTTTCTTGTCAAGCTGTACTCTCACAATGGAAATTTCACTTACCCCATCCCAACTGTTATGCAGTGCTCTTGTTTTCGCTTTCGCCCCTCCACAGATGCCACACGGGAGCGTGATCCCATATCTCCGCTATAACCCCCGCTGAGTGCTCTGCGAACGCCTCTAGCTGGGAATGTGATAAAAGGCATCTCGGTACTCGGATCGATGAGAACACAGGACTTCCTCTGCGCACATCTTGATTTCGGCTTCAACGGAGTATTGAAAGCTGGGATGATCAAGGAACGGAGAAATCCGGGGGGTTGAGACCAGTTGCCAGAGGCTGTATATCAGTTAAGCTATTGTTCAATTGATTCTGGGCCAAGGCATCAAGCGATCGGAGGCGTAGATGCGTGTGGGGCATACGGGGGAAGCATGTCCATCCGAACCACGTTGAGTGATATATGCTTGTTTCTGAGGTGAACTCGAGAAATAAGCGTTGTGCAGGCTTCGATTGGACGGGTCGGGGCATGATGGTCTCGATCCGGGCTGCCAGATAGATTCGAAGTGGAGAGTCTTGTTCTCCCTTCGCGGGAACGAGTCGACGAGGGGAACGATGGGTGTGGGTGTGGGGAGAGGGAGTAAAACTCACGTGCACATCGGTGTTCTTTATCAGGTGATTCACTCAAGCTACGCTCTTATCATGTTGCTCAAGAACAGTTCTTTGTGTCAATTATAAGATCCTGACATAACTATTGGTACATACTCAGTGGGTTCACCTAACACCCCGTTCAGAGTAGGTGACATACCAGTGAATCTAAAACCCAAAGACGTTTTAAACAGTACATCCTGGTAGGGAAAGTCTAGTCAATGACTTGGCGGTCGAAAAGAGGCTTTCCGAGTCCTTCTTCACCGTCGTATCATGCTGTTCGTCGGTATACTGATGGAAATCCAATCTGACCCTCAACTCGAATCTACTCTTCCTACGATCAGATACGGATTCGAGTGTCCCCCATTGGACCTTTTTCTTAACGTATGGGGCTAGCCACGTCAACGCAAGGAGCACGGGAATATCAGCGAGAGGCGCGATCATGGCAGGGAGAGCTTCCTCTGAATTAATACCATACATTGCAATGGCGATACCGATGGCAGAGCCCTGAAAGTTATCGTTTCAAGAAAATGAGCGATTGTGAATGAACGGAAGGGCAAAACTGACAAAGTTATTGCTAGAAACGGTGAACGCTTGAACAACTGCCACATCGTACGCAAAGCGACGGTTTCCGTTACCCTCTCGTTTTGAGAGAGAGAACATCATGACTAGTGTGCACGCAAACATGATCACGGAATACAAGGCCAAAGGGAGGAGTACGCGGATGAGGGGAGCAATGTCGCGGATGACGCGATGCGCTTGGTATGCGGACAGAACGAGAATGGCATAGAGTAAACCGAGAAGAGCGATGGGCGCAATGGACGGGATGAATGTTCCGTTCATAAATTCTTTGCCTTTCAGCGCCCAGACAGTATATCTAGTGACAACTCCAGCAACGAGGGGAATTCCCAGATACTAAATCACAGACAGATTAGATGGCAGGAATTGAGGAGCGGAGCAACTCACGATAAACACAGATATTGCAGTCGCTACATATGATACGTGGATAGGGTCATGCTCTCCAATTAGATCAACGAATAACAGAGCGTACGGGGGGTATAAGATCATTTGAAGAATTGCGTTGAACACCACGATAATGGCACAATAATCACAGTCTCCTCTCGCGAGATTGCTCCAGATCATGCCCATAGCTATGCATCTAGAAATACCAACCATAATCACGCCAAGGCGATATTTTGGTGAGTCGGGAAGCGTAGCCCAGGACAAGCCAAGCATCAGCAGCGGCCCAATGATCCAATTGAGGGCGAAGGATATCCCGATGTGCACCCATATAGCCCGGGAGGAGAAGATTGTGGGGAATTCTTCGTATTGCACTCTTGTTAGGACAGGCCACATCATGACGATCAGACCAACGGCAATGGCTGTATACCGTTCTTAAATTCGAACGTTTGGGTAAGCATGAAGCTCACGAGCAGGGACACCTCCCAACTTGATTCTCTCGAAAACTTCTCGAACGTGTGAGGAAGCACCTCCAATGATGATCCCAACCGTCATGAAAAGAAGGACGAGAGGCGTTAACAGCATGAGATTCTTGAAAGTGGCTGGGTACAAAGGTCATCTGCGATGGGACAATTTTCTGCGTATCCGCACTCACCATCTGGGCTAGTTTGTAGTGTTGTAGTAAGACTGGGATTTGCGGCGGAGATTGAGCGTCTTGAGGCATGTCGATGACCTTGGCCTTTGCTATCCATGAGTTGCTTGTGGGATGTGGGGCTTGAAGGAGGGGAAGCCCGGGAGGGTTGCTCATTGATACCATCTTGAACGGGGCAAAGTCGGTGTATTCATGGCTTCTCATTGAGGGCGTGAAAGATTCGAAAGTCCGCCCTGTCCAAGCCCTGTCGGACTCCGTCGGAGTGCCCGCCAACCTCCGCCGGACCGGAGAGCCCACCACATCACATTACTCCTCAAAGGCTGTTTTTCGTTCGTTTTTCGCTCATGGCCTGAAGGGCCAAATGTTGGCCAAATGTCTTCAGTTATAACCAAAAAACTTCACAATATTGTATGAGCATGGCTATTATTCACCGGCCCGCGTAGCACTTTTTCCGCCGTTGCCACGATACAGTTCGGTACAGGATGGAGCAAAATCAAAGCTGCCTCGCATACATGTGTTTTGCAAATTGCTGTCAACAATCCACACCCTCATCAAAGCCGATAAAATCATAAATTATAAATCACAAGCGCAAAAAAAATCTCAGAAAATATTGAGGGAATGAGATACTGTAGCTCGTAAAATTTCCAACTAAAAACCCCTTCTGACTTAAAGTATGACGGTAAAAATCGAATGTCGAATGATAATTGAATAATATGCTTTTTAACAACATATTAAAGAGGAGAATGAGATGAAGAAAAGGAGAAGGACGCACATGGTCGTAATGTCGTATTCTCGGCGGGCGAGGTATGTACACTCAAGCCACAACGCAGTATGCGTTGTTCCCGCTGCCACCATCATCAGCGTTGGTTGGGATATCCGTGGGGCCGGAGACGGAGAAGAAGATGGAGGAGAGGGTAGCGAAGGAATCCATGAGTTTAAATTGGAGAGGGCGTAAATAGCAAAGAGGCGTTTCGCGGAATGCTTAGATCTCAGAGGAGGTTAGTTCTCTGTGGTAGAACGAAGCTCCTTTTATAACGACCTCATTGAATTCAACGCAAATTTCCGCAAGACTCGGACTGAGTAGATTGAGATATGAATACTGATTTTTGAGCCTTATTGTAACGATAGGGTTTGGATAGCGTCCTGAACCGGGTATGTGAGTGAATTCAAGGACAGCGAACAATAAAAGTTGACCCTCGAGGTTTGCTTTCCGATCTCTCAAAATTACCGAGCAAAGTCGCAACAAAGTCGAAAACAATAAAAGCGTAATGACATCACGCCCCTGAGTCTAGAGACTGCCTTGAACAATGATCATGAATCAATGGATAGAAACTGGGTAGCGGCGTTTCTTGTGGCAATAACAATAGGATGTAAAGCAGGAACTTGATTTTTGTCTTTGGTGGCAAGCCTTTGCAGTATATTTATGAGTCATAAGATCAAGCGTACCAATCATACGCGTAGAGTCGCCGCAGACGGGGAGTAGAGATAAGATAAGATCGAGCGTGTTCATCACGTGGCGAACGCAACTTTATCACAACTCGTTCTTTCACCTGCCCGTTTGCATGGCCTCCCGCAACGGATCCATTTCTTCAAGTGGGACGCATTACCTCTTCTGCAGCTCGCTCTTCTTCCTTATCTTCTATGAGTGGCTGCAATCCACCTCAACTGCCCCCTTTCAGCACTTCTTACGGGTTTAATAAGAAGTTCCTATAGCGATCCCGCATTTTGCCTGTCACGACGACAATCGGAGAATGCTTATATTCACCTTAGCCCCACCTCGAACTCCCATGAGGGGAAAACGTCGGAGTCCCATGGGGGGAAGGTAATAAAAAGCACAACGACACCTGTCCTTGCCTTGCTCACGCGACATTTAAGAATCAAGAGACTCATCTTCAAAACATCAGCTACGATGAAGCTTTTAGTCCCTCTCAACCTTTTAATTGCTGCGTTAGCCATCTCGCCTGCACTATCCTCTCCGGTTCCTGGAGAGGTTGGGCTGGTTGAGTGAGTTCATCTACCATGTGGCCGTGACACTTTTTTTCTCAAACGAATCTTTTTGTTTGAACTTCTAGGAGAGGACCAATTCCTAATGCTGTCTTTAGAAGAGTACCGGAGCCCAATTTTTTCAAAGACCTGTTAAGGGCTTTAGGACAGGCATCACAGGGGGGTGATTTGCATCGTTGAGCGTAAGGTGTATGTGAGTGTGATATCGGGTATGTAAAGGTTCACTATATCTGCCTACGTATATAAAACTTAATGGTGGTTTGTGTTAGATTGGGCAGTGGAACGGACGTACTTACATACATGTATACCCGCGGTGTAGAGATGAACCTGACGAAATTCCAGACCTCTAAGTATGTATGGTGTAAATCTCAATGTTACCTTTCAAAAATGGGTCGGTGGGGAATGTTGCGATGTATTCCGTGACACTGAAACCTATGTAGAACGTACGGTGTACCGGCTTGACCAATCGTCAATGAGTGTGGGGGGCACGATCGGGGTTCGACTCCCCACATCGACATATCGTCTTGTTTGCTGTGGTCGTTTTAACGGTTGGTTTTTTCCTGTATTTACTGCTACTTGAGACACGTAACCATATTTGTGTTTTCGTGAGGGCTATTTCAACTATATATCCACAGGGACTCGGATATCACGCTCCTATGATAACATCCTTGTAGATCGATATGCGGTGTAACAGTTATTGAATCAATAATGCAAGCTTTGGGCACTATAATGAGGGTTCGACTCCCTGGCTTGGCTTTGAGACCGGACACGGTTTCCAAGTTTGTTTTTTGGTATCTAAATGTCTACGCAAGCTCTAGCTTGTAAGGTTACTCGTATGTGCATAATTTGGGGACATCCGTGGTGTAGAGATGGGCCTGACGAAATTTTGGACCTCTATGTGTGCCGTAAATCTTAATGTTACCTTTCAAAAATGGGTCGGTGGGGAATGTTGCAATGTATTCCGTGACACTGAAACCTACGTAGAACGTACGGTGTACCGGCTTGACCAATCGTCAATGAGTGCGAGGGGCACAATCGGGGTTCGACTCCCCACATCAACATAGATCATCTTCGACGGTCATTTTATCGGTAGGTTTTTTCGTGTATTTACTGCTACTTGAGGCACGTAACCATATTTGTGTTTTCGTGAGAGTTGTTTCTAGTTTCAACTATCCACAGGAACTGGGTAACAGTTTTGGATCAACAGTGACTTGAAAACTGTGGGCACTATAGTAAGGGTTCGACTCCCTGTCTTGGCTTCGTGCATATTTGATTCTCGGCAGTGGTTTTTTTTTTTCTGGAGCGAGAATGTGGTGGTGGGTATTGGGGCTTGGTTATAACATTTATGAGATGCATCAACATCTAGTAACTGCTGTGGATAAGTTGTAGACATACACTAACTGGGCAAAAAGAATGTCACATCATTTTTTGGACAAAGTTAGTTCTGTAACACAAGAACAAAACATTTTGAGAACTACACTCTGGTGTATGAAACATAGCTAAAAAGGTGTATATTGTACATACTAAGTCTGGGGATGAACAATTGAAAACTCAGGATAAGGCAGAGAATTGACTGTGACATGTGCCAAAAATGGGATGTAACAAAGTGGGAAATTCTGAATGACTGCAACCTACTGAAAGCAATTCACAACTTGAGGAAGAGATATATTATAAACACTGGATCTCCCTGCTATTGTTATAAGCTTCATAGAGTCTCTGGGCTAGAAAATTTTATATCCTCCTCTAAAGGGTAAATTTGAACTTGTTCCCCATTTTATGTATTTTTCACTCAATATATTTGTTGGAATGAAGTAAAATGACTCCCCATCAATGTTGGTAGTGTGTATAATACAAAAGGTAGGTAGAAATGTTAAAACAAACATTGCATGATGTCTGTAGAAGGTGATTCCAGAGTTTTTCCGGAAGTAAACAAGTATCTACAACATTGGTCCTTCTTTTCTGCAAGAAGAAAAGATGCTACCATCCTTTTGAATTGATCCATGGAGACTCAGGATGTCTTTTAAACAATGCCTACAGTATAGCATGATAGCAAATTAATTTACACTGGGTATGACTTGAAAAGTTCCCAATAAAAGTACATTTTGCATAGAGCAATCATTCTGGACCAATCCTTGACATTTTTCTTGGTGAATTGCAGCTGAAAATATTTCACAAGGCACTTCTCATGCCTAGTAACACTATTCCAAAGAAATAAACAGAGGTCCTATTTATACAAGGATCTGAGACCCCACACCTTTCTTGCTCTATGCAAAATGTACTTTTATTGAGGACCTTTCAAGTTATATCCAGGAA